TAATTTTTAGCATCAGCCATCAATCTTTTTGGCAATACTATTTCACTGTTTGTTCAAGGGGCTAATCTGACAGTCACTGTAAGTTTACTGCCAAATTCAGAATTTCCCAATTCAACCACAGTGAAAACACAAGCTCTTAGGTAACAAGATGACACAAACACATGTATAATTCTATAGCAAATATTTCTCTCACTAGTAACAGTCCCAGGGATGCTGTTAGAAAAATTAAACTAATGCTTTGGGTCATTTTCATTAGAGAGAGTTTAATTTTCAATATGCACACCAGATGAATGTAACCAGAATAAAAATAAAAGAACATACAGACCCAACTAGAGAATAATCTTAAAATACAGGGTTGGGTTCACAGTTACTGTAGATAGTAACTTTTCAGTTAAAGAATTCAATGAATGTGTTCCATTCACTTCTGCTCCAAGTAACTGAGGTCTTAGTGCATTTCAAAAGTAAAGTTTGATGAGAAATTAAGAAGAAAGAAAAAAAGCTAGAGCTGGTTCTAAAAATGAGTCAACTGCCAGTATTTACCTAAGTGCAAATGAGCACCAAGCTCAAGGGCAATACTGCATCTTAATCTTTAAAAAATACGCGCCACTGACCATGAAGTGAAAGGACACGGAAAAGCCATCACCGCAACTGGAAAAGTACATCAAAGTATGGAAGAAGAGACGATGCTGTTCCAATAATCAGCAGTACAGTATGGGACAAGGAAAATAATGTAAGCATGGGTAACTTCAGGATGACAAACAAAACCATGAAATGCCTTAAATTTAACATTTATAAAATTGACAAACTGTCTAGCATTTCAGAGAATTTATTACCACACGAGAAAATGTACACCTTCAATGAATAAAGAAATGCAATTTTAAAACAATCTTGAGAAATCATACATCTCTTAACTATTAAAAATAAACGAAAATTGAGGGCCCAGCCCCGTGGCCAAGGGGTTAAGTTTGGACGCTCCACTTTGGCGGCCCAGGGTTCACTGGTTCGGATCCTGGGTGCAGACATGGCGCCGCTTATCAGGTCATGCTGAGATGGTGTCCCACACAGCACAACCAGAAGGACCGACAACTAGAATATAGAACTATGTACTGGGGGGCTTTAGGGAGAAGGGAAAAAAAAGACTGGCAATGGATGTTAACTCAGATGCCAATCTAAAAAAAAAATTAAAATTGAGTCTGGTGGGACTCTGAGGAGAAGCAGGTTACTTAAGACTTTGCTGTGGGCATGGCATCAATTCAATCTATCTGGAAAGGACACTAAGAGGTGCTATAAAATCATTTGTTTCCGGATCTGGGGGTTCCACTTTGAAGCTTCTGCCTCAAATAAATAATTCAAGGAAAGATATTATGCAAACAAAAATATTCATAAAAATAGAAACAACTTGAACACGCACCAACATAGAAATGGTTAAATAATGATATATTTACATAAAGGAGCAATATATACTATTAAAAATGGCAACCATGTAGTTTAGGTAATACCCAAATGTTTATCAGGAATTATCTTGAATGAATTTTCTGAAAAAGATATAAAGAAATTGATCCCATTTATAATAGCATCAAAAACAATAAAATACTTAGGAATAAATTCAAGGAAGTGAAAGATCTCTACTCTGAAAACTACTATACGTGAAGGAACAGAAGACATAAATAAATGGAAAGGTATCTCATGTTCATGGACTAGAAGAATTAATATTGTTAACATGTCAATAGTACCAAAAGCCACCTAGAGATTCAATGCAATCCCTATTCAAATTCCAACGGCATTTTTTTACAGAAGTAGAAAAAACACTCCAAAAGTTAATACGAAACCACAAAAGACCCTGAACAGACAAAGAAATCCTGAGAAAGACAAACAAAGCAGGAGGCATCACAATTCCTGATTTCAAGCTATACTATAAAGCTACAGTCATCAAAACAGTACGGTACTGGCATAAAAAGAGACAAACAGACCAATGGAATAGAATTAAGATCCAAGAAATAAATCCAAGCATATGCAGTCAACTAATATTGGACAAGGGAGTCAAGAATACCTGATGGAGAAAAGATAGTCTCTTCAATAAACAGTGCTGGGATAACGGGATATTCACATGTAGAAGAATGAGACTGGACCCATATCTTATACCATTCACAAAAATTAACTCAAAACGAATTAAAGACTTAAATGCAAGACCTGAGACCATGAAACTCCTAGAAGGAAACCTAGGAATAAAGCTCCCTGACGAGGGGCTTGGTAATGATTTTTTGGATATGGCACCTAAAGCACAAGCAACAAAATAAAAAACTAACAAGTGAGACTACATCAAACTAAGGAGCTTCTGTACAGCAAAAGAAACCATCAACAAAGTGAAAAGAAAACTTATGGAATGGGAAACAATAATCTTTTATGATACATTTGCAAACGATACATCTGATAAGGGGTTAATATCCAAAATACATAAAGAATTCACACAACTCAAGAGCAAAAAAACTCAAATAAAAAATAGGCAAAAGGACCTCTAAAGAAAATGTACGAAAGGCCAACAGGTACATGAAAAGGTGCTCAACATCACTAATCATCACAGAAATGCAAATTAAAACCACTATGAGATATTACCCCACACCTATCAGAATGGCCATCATCAAAAAGACAAGAGATAGGGGGCTGGCCCCATGGCTAAGTGGTTAAACTTTCGCGTGCTCTGCTTCAGTGGCCCAGGCACACGGAGTCCGGGTGCAGACCTACTCTACTCATCAGCCACACTGTGGAGGCATCCCACATACAAAGTAGAGGAAGACTGGCACAGACGTTAGCTCAGGGCGAATCTTCCTGACACACACACAAAAAGACAAAAGATAACAAATGCTGGCGTGGATGTGGAGAAAAGAGAATCATTGTGTACTACTGATGGGATTGTAAATTGGTACAGCCACTATGAAAAACAGCATGAAGGGTCATCAAAAAATTAAAAATAGGCGGCCAGCCTGGTGGCCCAGTGGTTAAGTTTGTGCACTCTGCTTCAGTGGCTGGGGTTTTGCAGGTTTGGATCCCAGGTGCGGACCTACACACTGCTCATCAAGCCATGATGTGGAGTCATCCCATACACAAAATAGAGGAAGACTGGCACAGATGTTAGCTCAGTGACAATCTTCCTCAAGCAAAAAAGACAAAGACTGGCAACAGATGTTAGCTCAGGGCCAATCTTCTACACCAAAAGAATAAAATACAATAAAATAAAAATAGAACTTCCATACGATCCAGCAATTCCACTTCTGGGAATATATCCAAAGGAAAGGAAAACACTAACTCAAAAAGTTATCCACATCCCCATGTTTATAGCAGCATTATTTATAATAGCCAAAAAATGGAAACAACCTAAGTGTCCAAAAATGGATGAATAAAGAAGTTGTGGTATATATATATATATATATATATATATACACAACGGAGTATTATTCGGCCATAAAAAATGAGGAAATCCTACTGCTTGTGACAACAGAGATAGACTCTGAAGGCATTACACTAAGTGAAATATGTCAGACAGAGAAAGACAAATACTGTACAATCTCATCTATACATGGACTCTTAAAAAAAAAAAAAACTCACAGAAAAAGAGATCAGATTTGTGGTTACCAGAGGTGGGGAGAGAGGACTGGAGGAAGGTGGTCAAAAGGTACAAACTTCCTTCCAATTAGAAGATAAGTAAATACTAAGGATGTAATGTACAACATGATGACTACAGCTAACACTGTTGTATGATACAGAGGAAAGTTAAGAGAGTAAATCCTGAGTTCTCATCACAAGAAAAAAATTTCTTTCCTTTTTTTCTTTTTCTATTTATTGTATCTATATGAGAAGATGGATGTGAGCTGAACCTATTGTGGTAATCATTTCACAATATATGCAAATCAAACCCATCATGCTGTATGCCTTAAACTTATACAGGGACAAATGTCAAGTATTTCTCAATAAAACCGGAGGGAAAAAAGAAATTATCTTGGATGAAGAAAGAACACCAAGTACCCCTTTTTATTACATACAATGGAAGTGACAGGCATTGGGATCACTGACAAGAACTGCTAGAGCCATTCTAAACATTGCCTAAGAATTATTTGCCTATCAAAATATATTGTCTACAATGTGGGCACTGATTACACATGCCCATTATAATTGGAAGATACACATAATTCTAAATTTCAATGATTGTTTGTTATATAAAGTTACCTAATTGCCTAGTTTAAAAATATTCAGCTGTCTTTGTTCCCATGCCCAAACGCTTAACTTCTAATTCTTCTTAGACCCACAGGATTTTAAAACAAGAAACACACATCTCCCTTCCCATATTTTATAGACAAGGAAACAAACACAGGTTAAGTACTTCTTGCAAGATGATCTAACCGTTTGCTAGGACTAGCCACCAACTTTTCCACTGCTTTTTCCCAAAAAATCACTGCTGAGAGAAAAAAAAGTTAACCAATGTGGAGGATTGAACATGGAAGAAACGCACCAAAGTAGTTACAGCTTTCCGATTCACATCACGTTTAAAAGAACACCTCGGGGGGCCGGCCCAGTGGCGCAGCCGTTAAGTTTGCACATTCCCCTTCAGTGGCCCAGGGTTCACCTGTTTGGATCCCAGATGCGGACATGGCACCGCTTGGTAAGCCATGCTGTGGCAGGTGTCCCACATATAAATGGAGGAAGATGGGCACAGATGTTAGCTCAGGGCCAATCTTTCCCAGCAAAGAGAGGAGGATTGGCAGCAGATGTTAGCTCAGGGCTAATCTTCCTCAAAAAAAAAAAAAAAGTCCGGAATTTTCTTTTTGTAAAATTTTATAAAAATGATTGTCTTCTCTAGAAGGAAAGAGGATGAGGGGGGATGCCATTATAGATATCTCATATAATTAATACTTGCCATTCTCAAGCCTAAGGAATAGCTTGTTCTATGTGTAAGAATACGCCCTACAAAATGCAAAAATCAAAAAAACAATTCCAGGGTCTCTTACCTGTACAGAGAAGTCCGTCTTTGTAGTAAAGTGCATACACTCTGGCACTGTGTCCAATTAATGATGAGGTCTCAAAGGCTTCATGGTCCTCCAATTGCTTCATTCTCAAAATAGCCTTCAAATAAACCTTCTTCCAGTGCAAAGCGTCCTGAAGAGAATCGTCTATCTGCCAGCCCAAATTTTTACACGCAGTCTGCCATACCTCTGTACAGGCACTTATCACCTTATTCCACTGTTTAGAGACGAGGCAGCATGTGAGTAAAGTCTGAGGATCGAGCCATTTTAACAAATAAAAACTGAGCTCCAGGGGAAGGAGTTTGAGGAAGTCCCGCTTGAGGAGAGTCTCCAGGTTATTGGAGAGATGCCTGAGCTGGACTGCCCCACTCAGACTAATCAGGTGATCCAGAGTTTCATTTTTCTGCAAGTCCGTCAGAGAAAGAAATGTAACAGAAATGTTATCAAGCCATGTCTCAAAGTCCTTTCTCTCCATAAGGTTATGGAAAAATTTACCTGTGGCACATCAAAATATTGTATTAGTTCTGCTCAAAAAGACCGTTCAAGCAAGACTGCTAACAAACGAAGTATTAAAAATTAGTGTAAAAAACTTGGCATTACAATTTTATGCTTAGTTACTACATCACAACTTTACAGTTAACACACTATGTTTATCTGAAAATGTTCCATGCACACAAAAGAAAATACATTCGAGAAAACATACTTTAACAAATCACGACCTCTGAAAACATGTCAATAAAACTTATGTTGGTGTGTGTGAATTGCTCCTTTTGAAGTCTAGCACATGCTACATGCATCTTCACAGTAAAAGACTTACAAAGTATTCATTCTTTATGAAACAGTATATTCTGTACAATATACCCCCGCCCCCATCAGAACTATCAAAACATGATTTACTTAATACATTCTATTTGGACAATAAAACACAAAAATAAGCTCCAGGATGTGACAATCAGAAAGCAAGTCTCCTGAGCAGTAACCTGAGACATAAGTTATCATACTAGGAACAATGTGACCTGTTACCAAAATTACAGAGCTGACTACTGGCTTTTGCAATAGATGTTCAGGCAAAAGGATTTGGGGAAGAAAAATAAGTAGATGTAATAAATTATGTGGCTCAGGTATTCTGGTTCTTCCACTTCCTTTACGGCACTGCCTGTTAGAACATGAATTACCAAAGCCTTATTTGGCTTTACACAGTCTGTTTTTATAAGCCTCATAATGAGCTGGTGACAACTCTTAACCATGTGCCCCAGAGAGCAATGAGGGGCCTGAAGCCTGCACAAATAAGTCAAATTAGTAATCCTGATGTTTACGAAACGCCAAAAACCAGGTATCATCATCTCTACTTTGCAGATGAGGAAGTTACAAGTCAGAGAAGGCAAGTGATTTGCCTAAAGTCAACAGAGCTATTAAAATAGCAGCAAAGAGACTGGAGGCCAGTGCTCTCAAGATCAGTACTCTTCCAACCACACCAAGCTGTTTCTCTCTGAAGACAGCTACAATCAGGGGATTATAGCCTGGTGATAAAATCTGGAGGCACTGTGCCTATCTGATTATAACACCTTCTCCTTTAGGAGAATGACAAAGTGCTCCAGGGCTAACTGGAACCAAAAAAACATTTACAATTATCCACCATTACATACTGTGGTAAGGTGTCAACTCACTCTTAACACTGGGGACTAAACTAATGGAAAGAAACAAAAAATAAAGCAAACCAATAAAAATCATCTTTCCCAAGACTGGCCATATGTTGACAGATATTAATGCTGGGTGACGAGTACACGGAGGTTTCTTATTCTATTTTCATATGTTTAAACATTTCTATGATTTAAAAAAGAAAAAACTTGCCTCTAAACTGATCACTTAGTTTCCCACCAGACCGTCATACTAATTTTAAAAATTTATGTCCAAATTAATGTGGACGAGGAAAATAAATTCCTTCTCATATGGGTCACCTAGATCAAGTCTAAACAAAAAGCCAGATCGCATCTTCCAACTTTGTTAATGAAAGGTGAGTAAAAATCATTTCATTAATTTCCCAGTATCAAATTTGGCAAGAATGTTATCAGACAAACGCAGGAGAAGCAACCAAACTTTTCTCTTCACATCACCTGCTGTCTAACAGTTTTGGTTTTTGGAACAGTGAATGGACTTTAATACCCTGAAGCCTCAAGGTGTGGGCTAGGTAGGACTTATTAATTTGAGGATTTACTTGGCTGCCAAAAAATAATCAGTTCACCAAAAGTTTTATCAATTTAACACAAGATAACAAGCCTCCTCCTTCCTCTGAATCCAAACAACCTTCTTTCTATAACATTTCTAGAAAACTTTTACTTTAAAAAAAATTCACAGCAAGAAAAAAAAACCCTTTTCTGTGGACATTCATATACCATCACAGCAGCTAATTAATTAATACTGGCCAATTAAAAACTACACCAAACCATCTGCCCAGGAATCATTTTTCATAGTGAAAAAGTGCAAGGGGCTTCCTCTATCACACTTACACCTATGCACACAAAGTATTCCACACATTCATCGCAGGAATGCTTACATTTATGTATGCTGAATTAGTATTTAAATGGCCACAAGACAAATTTAAAATACCCATGAATACATTATCACGTTCTCATCATTCACAAATAACTAAGAGACATCTATATCTTGCCAAATTAACGTGCTCATGACAAGATTATGGGACAAGCTTTCCACTGAGTACCTTTAAAAACCCAGCCATTTCTGAGATTTATTTATTCTCCTAACACGAATTTTTTTTCCAGCTCTTACATTAGAGATTGCCCTTTAAGCTACTGAACCCCTTACAAGAGGCTGTTTTCCAGTTCTTCATCTCTGACAGTCATGATAAAGGCATCTTTTTTTTTTTAATAAAGCAGGCCCCATTGCCTCTGCAGAATGTACTTTTTACTTCTCTAAAAAATGAACTTTGGAAGGAACTTTCTTAAGGTCACAGGTCTAAACTGAACTCTCTTGGAGAGCCTCTAGGAATACCATGTACTGGCAGCACAAAGCCCCAAGGGGAAAGCTTCAGGAAGTGAGATTTCAATTCAACACAAGGAGGAGCTTTTAAATCATCAGAGCTTTCCAATAATGGAACAGCTGCCTCCAGAGTGGTGAACTTCCCATTACTGGGAACAGTCAAGGACAGTTGGGTAGAGAAGCAAAATGGGATAAATAAAAATGCTTTGGAGTCAGTCAAATCTTTTACTGATTCAGCCACTTCCTATGTGATCATGGGCATGTTCAACTACTAATTTTCAGTTTTGTCATCTGTAAAATGGAAGCTATCATTCACCTTGAGAGTTGTGAGAATCAGAAACAGAGCAAGGACATGCTTAGCACAGAGCCCGTCTAGGGTAACTCAAATGGTACTTTTTGCTAGTTTTATTACTATGAATACATGGCAGGGAAGCTTTTAGTGGCCCTGAGGCTGGAATGGACATGACCACTACTATTGCTTTCAACTCTATGATCTTATCATAGTTTCTTGAAAATGGCTTAAAATATATGGAAGAAAAATTTAAGGGCTAAAACTCACTGGGAGCTTAATTTTATAATTAGGGGAAGTTATTGACTTGAGGCCATAATTTCCCACTAGGTGTATTTTTCTCTCCACTCTATCCACACTCCATGCTGTCTTGCCCTTTTTTTCCCCACGCAGACTAAACATTAAACTTGTCTTTCTGCCCTCAATATTAACAATTACAAAGCTCTGAAATGGGTGGTGTGATGACAAGAGTCCTAAAATGGGAGATGGCAGACCTGGATTTGGTCTCTGGTTCTGCCATTAACTCCCTATGTTCCCTTAGGCAACTCTCATTATTTGTACTCATTTAAAAGACTAAAGTACTGCTTACAGACATTACCTCATTTGATTTTCATAACCTCATGGAAAGTATCAGTACTACTGCCCTTAACTAATAAATGAGGAAATTTATGGCCCAAGAAGTGGAGCGACTTTCCCAGGGGCCCATAGGAAGCAGCATATTTAACATCTTGCCCAGCCCCCAGCTTCCCAAAATGAAACAAAACCTTTACCCCTAGGTCGTATTAGAGATACGCCATTCTGGATAAAATAATCATGAATGAGTTGTCCTCTCTTCCACCAGGACCCAGCCTAGTCAAGACTGAAAGTAAACATCTGTTGTTGGGGAGGAGACTTAATCTTCCCTCTCTTTTCTTATCAAGCATAATTAGCAATTAGAGTACAAAGGCTTTGAAAACGTATATAAACTTACATAGGCATAAAATATCTTTTGGATATTCAAGAAGCTGGCAACGCTGGTTGCCTCCAGAAAAAAACTGGAGAGCTGAGCAACAGGGATGAGGAGTCCCTTTTTGAGTTTAAAACCACATGAATATACTATCTATTTTTAAAAACTCCTTTAGTCTTAAGATGAATAAAAACAGCTTTGAAAGAATACAAACAGTGTTTATAAAATACGGGCTCTGCAACTCCACCTGTTGCTGGGGACCCTGGACAAACCCCTTCACCTATCTCAAGCCCAGTTTCCTCACCTGTAAAATGTAACCACGAACAGAGGTTTTTGTGGGGATTAAATAGGACAATACACGTAAAGCGTTTAGCACGGTACTCGACACAATGGACGCCAACAAGAAATGCCAGTTATCGCTACTATTTAGCACTAATATTATCTTTATTTCAAGCAGCACCCCTCACACACACCTGTTTCCGGGGCACACCCACAACTGCGGCGCAGTCCCTCACATCAGTACAACGCTCTGTATTTCAGTAACCACCTCTCCACACTGCAGTATCTTTCAAACGTATGGCAGCCCTGGCACATCGCTCTTAACTCATTTCGCAGCTAGGGAAACTGAGGCACTCACTCCGACACTCAATTTTCCCAGCTCTCAGCCAACTCCAGATCCCTTCACCCCGTTCGTTGCTCCCAGGTCCCCTGCTCCCGGAGCCATGTTCCGCGCGGCACTGACCTGAGCGAGCGCCCCGGGGCCCGGGACCTCGCGCCGGGCTCACACCGACTAGGCGCGCTCGGGCCGCCAGAGCCTCGCAGCGGCCGGGTCCGCTCGGCAGCCATGGCGCCTGCAAGGAGAGAAAGACAAACAGCCCAAGACGCGGCGGGTCAGCAGAGGCGTGGGCGACAGAGAAGCCCCAACCCGACCCGGCCCCGCCTCACACACAGACCTGGACCTGCGGCCGCCGCTCCGGGTCCGCAACCTCACTGGGGAGCGGCTTCCGGTGCTGTCTGCGTCATCTCCGCGCGCCCCTCCGCCTGCGGCGCCCAGCGGACGCGGACGCACTTCCGGCCCCCGCCTCGGGTCGGGGGGAGTGGGCGGGCCGAGGAGCGTAGAGCGAGGCGGAGCATGCGCAGGACAGCTCAGACCTGTGGAGCCTGGACCGCTGCTTACTTCGGAGCTGCAGTTTGGAGTTTGTCCAGCGCCTTTGTGTCTCTCATGTAATCTGATCTTGAACCAACTGTGCCCCACTTTTTCCTGTTATCTTCATTTATGGAGAAGTTAAGGTGTGTCCAAAATCAAACCACCCATTGAGCGCTTGTGATGTCCCAAACACGGTTGGGGAGGATAGGGTTAGTGAACAAAACCAGAAAAATTCCTGACCGCCTGGGGCTTACATCCTAGTGGGGAAGGCAGACAGATAAACAAACAAATAACTGAGCAAGGTTGATGCAAGCCTTAGCAAATGCTAAAGAGAAAAATACAGCAAAGTGAGAGTTTTGGTGAGCGAAAGAAGGGAGTCAGGTGATCTAGATTTGAATCCAAGCTCTTGCCCTCTGGCTGCGCCAACGGTTACTTAACCTCTCTGGCTTTATTTTCCTCATCTGCATAGCACTTACAGTACCCTCCTCATCTGATCTTTCTGAGTACTGAAGGAGATGAAACATAGAAACCTGTTAGCGTCAAGGAGTAAAACTGTGCTTCCTATGTGCCAGGCACTCTTGTAATCACTTTGTGTTGTGGCACTCAGTTCCCACAGTAACTCTACACAGGTGTTACTATTATTAGCTCCATTTTTAGAGATGAGGAAACCGAGGTCAAAAGAGGTTTAAGCCTCTTGACGAAGGTCGTAGTAACTGGCTATCACAGGATTTCAACTCAGGCTCCCGTTAAAGCATGTTACCCTTGTTTTTCTGTAAGGGCTTGTAAACTACATGCACATATACTCACAGGCATCTTGTACCACCACTGTCCAATAGGACTTTCAGCAATGATGTTCTCTATCTATGCAGTCCAATACGGCAGCCATTAGCCTCTTATGGTTATTGAACACTTGAAAAGTGCCTAATGTGACTGAGGAAATAAAACATTCATTTTATTTAATTTTAACTAATTTAAATTTAAACAGCCACATATGGCTAATGGCTACCATATTGGACAGCCCTGCCCAATGATATAGACAGAACACATAATATAGACAATAAGACAGTCTCATATCCATTTAGTTGTAGAACACAGCCAAGCCTCCAAGCGTCCTGAGTACATCTAGGATACTTGAAACACGTGAAATAATAAGTTTCCTCTTTATGATGGAAGCCAAGTATGGTGAACTGAAAGGTCTCAAGAGAGCGAATTTGATTTGGTAGGCAATAGGAAGCCTCTGTAGACTTCTAAGCCAGAGAGTGACTGATGACAACATTATGAGAAAATTCAGGAAGATATGGATACACAGATCAGAAAACCTCTATGAAAGAGAAGACAGTACTAAGGTAATCAAGAAAACCAAGCCCCGCTGTCTATTTGTTGCAAACAGTCTCAACCCTAGAATGGTAGAAGTTTGATGAATCAAACTGAAAATTCCAGATGGAATTGCCCCAGAGAAAATATTATCTGAACCTCTGATGGGCAACGAAAGCAAATTGTCTAAGTTTAAGCCCAGAGGAGATCCAGGAGCAAAATTTATAGCTATAAAAAATGAAAAGAAAATTGCAAAATAGAATTTGTGTTTAATTAAATACAAGACGTGTTAAATAATTGTTAAATTTAATATATGTAAAAAATTCCTTTTCATTTGAATATTTTTTTAGGTTAGATTTGCCACTTTGTAAAAATCTCCAAGATTGCGTGATGATTGTTGAGAAAACAGCCAACTTTAAACATAATGAGTTATTCCTAGCCAAATAATTACAAAAATTGCTTTGAGTAGCAGGTAGAAAGATCAACATATGAAAAGAAAAATATAAAATATAGCCTGGCATGAGATCAGAGTGTTCAGTACAACTGCTTACGTGACAGGAACGTGAAAATATCCTGGATGTTCTTTCTTTTCTTAAAATAAACTTGCTGGTATAAACGATGTTTGGGACAATTCCTATACATACATGCACTGGGAAAATGGCAAACATCAAATGCTTAGATTCTTCAATTCAGGCTAAAATGGACTACATGTTATTTTCTATTTTGAGATAAAGTTGCCTGGGAGAGGTAGTTTAGACAACATATAATTGATTTAGTAAAGTTCTTGGAATAGCTTATATGAGGAATTCAAAATCCTTCCCAATGGGACACCAAATCTCACCATATGATGTTTCCTTGGGTAGAAAAAATGCACCCACTAGGATGACAAGTATTCCTTGATATTTAGTACATTTCTTGCATGTGCAGGTACCCGGGAGCAGGAAATACTCCACTCATTTGGTTCTTGAGATGCACTCCTTGTGTGATGATGCTGTGGAGAGGTGATGTGGGTTAACTGTTCTTTCAACTCCCAAGCATGCTTCACCAGGAACTCAACATAAAGACAAGGGGTCAGTTTCAAGAGGCACACAAGGTAAGAAGCATTTAAAGAGGTTTGCTTTTTCTATTCTTCGTTCTGGATTCACTCTAGCTGTAACATGATCGATCAGCCCTTGCTCTCCTATGGAGCCAGCAGGTATTCTGGGACAAAAGCTCAGGTTGATTGGCAAGAAACCTTATCCTTAAAGTCTCAGGCACAAAGTACTTTACTTCAAGCGCCGTTAGACTGAGTGATACTGAAATACATTTGGGCATCATTTGGCATCTGGACTCAATAATTTCCAAAGCCCTGAAATTGTTCACAGACAACATGCCGGTAAGTTTCTTATAATCTTTGAAGCATTTGCTATCTATTAAAATAGGCTTTGAGGAGGCTGAAGTTTCTTCTGTGTGCAAATCATCGGCGCTGAGAAAATAGAAAGAAGTTCAGATTATAATTGCAGGCGTTTGTTTTGCTCTTTGTTTTTTTCCTATTCAATAGATGTGGAAAAGTAAAAGATGGGAGTCAGGATTCTATACTGATTAAGAGTGAGCTTTGGAATCTAACAGACTTGAGTTCAAATCATGGCCTTACCCCACTCCCTTACCCACTGAATGATCTTCGGCAAATTACTCAACCTTTTGAATGCTCAGCTTAATTTTGAAGATTACCTGTCTGAAAGGGATAGTACCAGGGCTAAATGGGTTAAGGCATGAAAAGTGCTTAGCACAGCACCTGGCCCGTGGCAAATGCTCAACAAGAGGTAACTATTATTATGGAAGGCTTTGTTGATTGAAGCTCCAGTGAATAAAGATTTAATTCCTTTAATGTCCCCTGGCTCTGTTACATTACAATACTGCATATGCTCTTCCAGATGGAAAGTTTCCATATCCTTTGATGAGATGGAGTAAGCTTGGCACAGGTCCCTCCTAGATCTCTGAAGGGGTGCTATGCAGATAGCAGGAATCTGCCCATATTGACAGATATGTCAGATGGATTAGGGGACATTGTTGAAACAGACAATGTTAGAATTCAGTATTAGATTAAATTGAAAAGTCATACTAGAAGAATGTAAATGTTTGATAGTGGCCATTGTGCAGTGTCCAACAAAAACAACCACGTCATTGAAAAATAGCCCTTGACCTTTGTAATCAGAGAAGAAACTGATCCAAGTGCTTCAGTTCCAGAAAGAACATCATATATTTTCCTGTAGGCTTTTAGCAGGATGCTGCTGCTTGTTACTTTATATCCATGTGTCTGTGTCTGGTTCTTCTTTGCTTCCTCAGTGTCTAACACTGGCCTTGTTTATAGTAAATAGGCTTTTATCCAAACAAGACAGAAAACAACCAACTAACATTTTATTTAGTTTCTACTTTGTGCTGAGTGCTGGACAGCAGCACTGGAGAAGAGAAAGGCAGGAGGCCATGATCTAGTGGGAGAGACAGGTAACAAAAGTAATAATGAGGGGCTGGCCCTGTGGCCAAGTGGTTAAGTTCATGCACTCTGCTTCAGTGGCCTGGGCTTGGCCGGTTGGGATCCTGGGCGTGGACTTACACACTGCTCATCAAGCCATGCTGTGGCAGCATCCCACATAGAAGAACTAGAATGACTTACAACTAGGATATGTGCTGAGGCTCTGGGGAGAAAATAATAATAGTAATAATAATAAACACTTAAAATGATGTACCACTAAGTGCTATAAGAGGTACATGTAGTGTTTGGTAGGGGCAAAAACAGAAATGGAGATGAAGCTTGAATGAACATGTATTCTTTTCCCATTTAGGTGATGTTCTGCAGACTTCGGACTCACCAGTGGTGTTTCATTCTGTTTAATGTCATCCTATTTCATGCCTTGCTTTTTGGGGCTGATTTTGTGGAAGAATATTTTCTGCATGCTTTGCCTTATGTAGATATAAAGGTTCTTGAAATTAAGGATAAGGCAAGGAAATTGAACATGGATCCTGTAAGAAGTAATCTTTCCAAATATTATATCCTGAGCCCATCGGAGGTGTGTAAAGGGAAGAACATATTTTTGCTCTCTCTTATCTTCAGTAGCTCAGGAAATGGAACAAGGCGGGACCTCATCAGGAGAACCTGGGGTAACGTGACCAGCGTTGGAGGGCACCCCATTCTCACTCTTTTTGCTTTGGGAATGCCTGTTTTGGTAACTACTCAGCAAGAGATAGACAAAGAGTCCCATAGGAATAATGATATCATTGAAGGACTCTTCTTGGACAGTGCTGAGAATGAAACTCTGAAGATCATCACAATGACGCAGTGGGCTGTGACTTTCTGTCCTAATGCCCTGTTCATTCTGAAGGTTGATGAGGAGATGTTTGTTAATTTACCAAGCTTGGTAGACTATCTTCTCAACCTGAAAGAACACCTTGAAGATGTCTATGTAGGAAGAGTTATCCATCAGGATTCACCCAACAGAGACCCTAACAGTCAAGAATTTGTCCCTCTTAGTGAGTACCCAGAAAAGTATTACCCAGATTACTGCAGTGGTGAGGCCTTTATTATGTCCCAAGAGGTGGCTCGGATGATATATGTGGTTTTCAAAGAAGTAACCATGATGGTGCCTGCTGATGTGTTTGTAGGAATTTGTGCCAAGTCCATTGGCCTTATACCTATCCACAGTTCAAGGTTTTCTGGGAAACGGCACATCAGATACAACAGATGTTGCTATAAATTCATTTTCACATCCTCAGAAACTACAGATGCTGAAATGCCCTTGGCATGGAAGGAAATTAACAATGGGAAAGAATGTACACTGTTTGAGACTTACTATGGGCTCATTTCCTGCAAACTTCTAACATATCTTGACAGCTTTAAACGTTTTCACATGGGTACCATAAAAAACAATGCCATGTATTTTGGTGATTAGGATTTGTTTTTCTTATAAGTGTGTTTTTAAATTACCTCCTACTTCGTTATAGAAAGCATCCCTCCTTCCTTTACGTAGTTTCTCTGAATCTTTAATTGTATTCAGCAGGTTGCAAAGTGTTCTTAGTGCTCTGATGTATTACACCGTGTTGAGATCTCATTTTAAGAAATTTAACTTGGTGTAGCATGATTTTTGTCAAAATAAAGCCTCTCATTCAGAAAAGAGAGAATATTAAATTTAATTCTAACCAAAAGGTTTGTTTGTCCTTACAATGAGTGAATTTTAAAAGTCGCATTCTATGGAACTGTCATGACTCAGTGATAGCAGCAGTGACTGATTTGATAATGCCCGGAATTAAAGGAAAATGATAAATAAGGAATTTAACAAAATGTTCATCTTGTCTGCAGCAGGAAACATTTTGGTCATCTGGGTGGTGGAATTACATTTAATTTAAAAGTATTAGCTACCTAGTACATATTAACTTAAACCTCACTCGTATTGGGCTTGGATCTCTCACTTTTGTGAAACATTTTTCATCAGGTCCTAACTGGGTAGTGCTTTACAGATGGGATGGCACAAATTCACGTTTCATGTGACGTATACACTCTGTATTAGTATCCCAGGGATGCCATAACAAAGTACCACAGACTGGGCGACTTGAAAACAACAGAAACTTATTTGCTGGAAGTTCTAGAGACTAAAAGTCTGAAAGCAAGGTGTTGGCAGGGCCCTGCTCTTTCTGAAGCCCCTAGGGGAGAATCCTTCTTTGTCTCTTCTTGCTCCTGGTGGTTGCCAGCAATCCTTGGCATGCTTTGATTTACACACGCATCACTTTGTCTCTGCCTCCATCTTCACACGGCCTTCTCCTGTGTTTGTGACTTCACATCATCTTTCCCCTGTGCTGTGTCTGGGTGTCCAAATGTCCCTCTTCTTCTAAGGACACCAGGCATTGAATTAGGGCCCACCCTAATGACCTCATCTTCACTTGATTACATCAGCAATCAAACAAATCAATGGCCTATTTCAAAATAAGGTCACATTCACAGGTACAGGGTTAGGATTTCAATATATCTTTTTAGGGGATGTAATTCAACCCACACCACCTACTTTCTGATTTCTCTTGTACGACGACTAGGCAATAGATTGTAGTTCCCATCCTGGGCTTCTTGGGATTTTAGGTTTCCCCAAAGTAATACACTTTGAAAATCTCTGCCATGACACCTATTATGATCATATTTTTAGATATGTTACTGAACTGTATTGAACCTCAGTTTAGGTACAAAATCAACCTTGTAGGGATTATGGACTAAATAAGTCAAGTATTTAGCATTGGATTTGGTCCATAGTAAGTGTGCATCAAGAAGAAAAGGCAGCATTGAAGGACGTATGTTCTGAGTTAAACAGCTTAGGTTCAAATCTTGGCTCCACTTACTTGCTGTCTGACCTTGTGCAAGTTCCTTAACTTTGCTGTCTCTCGTCTCATGTGTAAACGGTGTAATCACAGTACCTAACTCCTGGGAGTGAGAGGATAGCAACATATGTTAATATATGAAAAGCTTTTAGAACAATGCCTGACACACAGTAACTGTTTGCTATTATCTCCAAAATATAACCAAGTAACAAAAGAGGAACACATCTGACTAACCATCAGAAAGCTAGGTTAACATTTTGGCTCTGGGCTGTGCCACCTGTACAGGGTACTTCATTTCTCAGGCTTAGTATCTTTGTCTGCAAAATGTTACTTAACTTGTACAGCTGTTATGAGGATAAAATGAGAATATGCATACCAAGGGCCTAACATAAAGTAAATGCTAAGAAATGGCAGCTATTATTAATAATAAAGAACTTTGCGATTTTCCCCTTTAAATTCTAGGCTTTGGTCACTGAATTACTTGTAGTTCCCTAAATGTGTTCTTGTTTTCCTAGCTGTACCCCTGCTTGCTCTGCTACTTCTCTCTATCCTTCACTCGACTATCTCCCATGAGTTCTTCAAGATGCGAGGGAAAATCTTCCCTCAGGTCTAGGGTAGGTGTTTTCTGTTTTCCTCTATTTTTGTATTTACTATATACTAATTTTCTATTGATCTGTTTTCCTCCACTATTAGCCACTTGCTACCTGTGTGATTTTGGAATAAGCTACTTAACTTCTCTGAGCCTCAGTTTCTTCATCTATGAAATAGAGATCTAAAAATTAAATGAGGTGAACTTAGGACAATGTCTAATTCTTTTCCCAAAGCCAGGCACATGAGCAGTCAAGAAGAGTTTATTTATTAAATGCAAAATAAAATAATAGTTTGCAAATTGTATTTAATCTTAAAAAAAAGTCACAGGTGCAAAATCAGAATCAGCATGTAGGCCATACCTAGGAGAGAGGGCAATCCTTTGAACTCTGTTGTTAAATGACTAACATCAGCATCACGAATGAGATTAAACAAAAGTCACCTTAAAGAGAGAGAATGTTCCTCAGTCCAGGGAAGTCCTGGCTGTAGACTAATTAGTGGTATTAGCAGTAGGGAAATGGTTGATATGGAAAAAGGAGACTCAGGGATACCAGAGATGGCAGAAGAGAGATGATCAATCTGGAGACAAGCGAATTCTAGTCACTTGAGAACCATTTTGTTACAAAGCAGGGATGGTTTATCAACATCACCATGGACTAAAAGAGACCTATCTCTAGATTCTCAAGTGTCACACTATGATACCACACTCATACACAAACCTCTGGATTGGCGATGGGTACGCAGAGTGCTTTGGTATTTAGAGAGCAGGGCACTGGAAAACAGGTGGGAACATGTTTTGGTCAGTGAAAAAGTGCATCCCTTGCTAATCAATGAGATGGAATCCTAGTTTATACATAGCGTCCCTTTCGTTCTAACTCAGGTTATTAGGAGTCAGTTTCCTTCTCTCTGATCCACTCAATATTGACTTGATGATTCTGAAAAATTTTTTAAAAGCAAAACCCTCAACAATGACGACCCACCAGTAAATAAAAAGACAGTTTGGGGACATTTCCAGTTTAGTATACTATTACTCCTCCTCCTCCAAAACCACTATAGAGTAAAATTCATAGATAAACAGCAAAAAAGCATCAAAGAACACCAGAAACATTTTTAAAAGGTTTATTTACTGTTTTTCAAAGGAATAATAGTAACAAAAAAATCAGAAGAGACCTTATTAAAAGTATTTATTCTTAGTATGAAGAACATAATTTTAAGATTCCATATTACTTGTTTTTCAAATAATATTTATATCCAAGACTTTGAAAGTGGCATCAGAAGGGGGAAAAGGACCAAAAAAGAACAAAAAAAGGGTGGTGAAGAGAATTCAGAAACAACCTGGTTCTATTTCAGTTGAAGCAGATTTTAAAATAAGACAGTAAGTTCATGGAAATGTTCTGGGAGGAGAACAAAACTTCCATCTTCTTGCAAAGATTAAGGCAGTCAAAGGAATCTGAAAAGCATTTGGTTCAATTCTGACCAAGTGTGCCTCCTTTCCTGGTTTCAGACTGTACTTCAATGTAGAAACACAACAAATATTGGTGATAAAATTACATTAGATGCTCCATGATAATTCTGGGGGGAGGGAAGTCTCTGTTTTGTAAATTACAGATGGAGTCAAATGGCTTAGGAGAAGGTTTGGTAAAAAAAAAAAAAAGAGGTCTAGACTCCGGAAGCAATCATTCGGCTCCTTCCACTGCTGTTGTGGAAATAGGTTTCACATAGTATGGACCTTCGCTCAGGTAAGTTCTGAGCCTCAAATAATTTGGGTTCCCAAAGATTTCTGCAATTGTCTTGGAATTGGCAAGTGCTTTCACCAGTTCATATTTGGCATCCTTTGAAGCTTTGTCACGCTCCACGGACCGGTCCATCACATATTCTACAAAACCTGGACTATTAAACATAAGTTTCTGAGCCCAGGGTTGGTCTGCAATGGCCTAAAACGGAAGATAGAAAGAACTCAATTTCTCTGAGCCTTAAAAAGTTAAGTTTGCTAGTGGGATGGCACAGTCCCTAGAAAGAAATTTGGCAACATGAACCTTAAAAATGTTACTTTTTGCCTCAGTAAATGCCCTCCTGGGAATCTAACAATAATCTAAATATTAAAAAATCTTTGTATACAAAGATGTTCAATATAGTATGAAAGTCACAATATAAATGTCTAATAGTGGGGGGATGGGTAATTAAATTATGGTATATAGCCATAAAAAATTAAATAAAAATTAAGAATAACATTTATAAAGAATAAGTAAATCTGTATATGAAAAAAGTAGATCCCAATTATATTACAACAGTGGAAAAATAAAACAAAAACTAGAAAATAAAAGACTACCGTAAAGAAATTCTCATACATGTGCACAAGATGATATTTTTGAGAATGTTCATTATAGCATCCTTTGTAATAGAAATTATTTAAATCTTCATTTACAGAAGAATGATATACTGTGGCTATACAATGAAATACTAATGACTTTCTAATGGCTTCTCTCAGTATAAATCTTAAAAACATAATGTTGAAGAGAGAAAGAAAATTGTAGAATGATGTGAATGGCATGATACCATTTACAAAGTTTAAGAATACGTAAAAGACTGTAATTTGTTTTAAGGATATATACACATGTAGTAAAAGTATTAAATCATTTGTGGGGTTGTAACCCCTGAACTCATAACAGTGATTATATCCGGGGGGGGGGGGGGGGGGGAATGGGATTGGGCAGAGGAAGCAAGGTATGACTATATGTTTGAGATAGTTCACCAATAAATAAATAAATTAATAAATACTGACACTAATATTAAAAGGAAATACACCAAACAGGTATGACTTTATGTGATTTTAAAATTTCTACTTCTCAATCTTTCTCCAATTTTAAAATGGTGAATAAACCACTTTTATATTTTTTAAAACCTCACCACTACATTTTATGAACAAGGAATAATCCCATTTAGAGCCTAGGCTCTTCCTCTCCAAATGTGTTCGGCAGACCAGCAGTATCAGCGTCACCTGGGAGCTTGTGAGAAATTCAGGATCCCAGGCTCCACTGCAGAACCAGTGACTCAGAATCTACATTTTAACAAGATCTTAAAGTTCCAGAAACACCAGCTTAGTTACCAAGTTGAGGATGAAGGGTGGGCTGAAATAAAAATAGCCATCCCAACCAGTAAATCAAAAATTATCTCTACAGCTGTGGCCAACTAAGTGGAGCAGAAGGTAGAAGAGTGGAAAAAAAATAAAGTAACAACGGGAATAGCAATGCAGGAGCCAAAAGGACTACCACAGTGACTACTGACAAGGGTAAAGCAGTGTAGAAACATTTTTGAAGTTGATGGGAATCCTGTATCCTTCAAGACCCAGATCAGGTATCACATCCTGCAGGACGCCTCCCGTCTCTTGTCGCCTCCATTCTCCTTGTTCCCTCCCTCTCTAGGCCAAGCATGCTGCCTGAAATCCCATTATTACGATTACTAAAGTCATTATTGTATTTCCATGAGCCCAGGCACCAGGTAAGTGTGGGAGCTACCAAGATAAATCAGATATGGTTCGTATTCTTAAGAAACTGTTTAACAGGTCAATAAATAAACATTTTCAACATAATGTAATAAATAGAACACAGAGGTATTCTTCTCACCACAACTGTAATTATATAATTAACTCTACAATTATATTTATTGCCTGAAGGTAGAGGGCACACAGGGGTCCAGAGATATAAAGCAAGCAGGTTGGTATCACTAGAACATTAAGTGCCAGAAGGGGAATGGCAGGAAAAGGAAATAAGGCTCAGGAAGATGACCAGGGCTGGTCAATAAGGGTTTGCCCGATGGCAGAGAAGGAATCTGGAATTAATTCTGTGATCCCATAGCATCCTGTTCAAACTGCTGCCACAGCAGCTAATACCTTTTACTAATACAGTTTATAATACCTAATACCATGTACACATCTGTCTCCCTCATTAGTCTATACTAATAGCAGCACTTGTGTATCCCCGGGGCATGGCAGAGGTACTGGCTCATTGTAAGTACTCACATGTTGAACTGGCAGAGTCCCAGAAGGACCTGTGGAAAAGAAGAGGATGCCTACCGTGAACACTTTTAAGGCAGCACAGCGTAGATCAGGGAAGGGTTGATTACTGATGCCACGGAAGAGCTCCAGCGGGTCCCGAGACAAAGAAGAAAACCAGGATTCTGTCATCCTCAGGAGGTCATCAGTCTGCTGCTCAGGCTACAGGACAGAAAAGGAAACCTCAAGACATCTAGAAGTCAGGAAACCTGGGTTCTGCTGGCACTCTGTCATTAACTCACTGTGTGATCTCTGCCAAGTCAGGAGCAATCGTCCCCAAACCCAGCCTATACTTTCCCAATTTTTTTTTCACGGAGTTAATTAAGCAATCTCTAGGATCCTCTCCAGTTCTAATACTCTATGATTCCACTTTAACTTTGAAAAATGTCACTAGTCATATAGAATGATGGTTATCTTCTTTTACTAAGAGTGAGAAAGATGGCATTTGGTCAACATGTATGTTAACTAGTGATATACTGATTCACACAGATTTATTCTCCCAAACGTATCCCTCTGTCCTTCATTAATTTCCCAATCTACTTACTGGTAAATAAAGAAGTGATGAAAGTGCATCCAAACACCTAATTTTGAGTTCTGTTGAGGCATTTTTCGCTTGATATCCTATTTTCACGAGCAAGCGTTCAAAGCGAGTTCCTTTGAAGGATAATGAGAGATTTTTTATTGTGGTAAAATACACATAACATAAAATCGACCATTTTAACCATTTTTAAGCATGCAGTTGAGTGGTACTAAGTACATTCACATTGTGCAACCATCACCACCATCTATCTCCAGAACTCTCCATTCCCCCATCTCCACCTGCTGGTGACTACTCTTCTACTTTCTGTCTCTGTGTATTTGACTATTCTAGGTATCTCAGATAGTTGGAATCATACAATATTTGTCCTGTTCCATCTGGATTATTTCACTTAACATAATGTCTTTAAGATTACTCCATGTTGCAGCATGTACGAGAATTTCATTTGTTTTTAATGCTGAATAATATTCCATTGTATGTATACGCCACGTTTTGCTCATCCATTCATCCATTCAATGAACACTTGGGTTGTTTCTACCCTTTTTGGCTATTGTGAATGAACACAGGTGTACAAATATCTGTTTGAGTCCCTGCTTTCAATTATTTTGGGGATATACCTAGAAGTGGTCTTGCTGGATCGTATGGCAATTCTACGTTTAATTTTTTGAGGAACCATCATAACTGTTTTCCACAGTGGCTACACCATTTTATATTCCTATCAGATATGCACAAGGGTTCCAATTTCTCACATGCTTGTCAATACTTGCTATTTTCTGTTTTATAAAAAAATGATACCCATCCTAAGTGAACAATGAGATTTTTTTTTTTTAAAGATTTTATTTTTTTCCTTTTTCTCCCCAAAGCCCCCCAGTACATAGTTGTATATTCTTTGTTGTGCGTCCTTCTAGTTGCGGCATGTGGGACACTGCCTCAGCGTGGTTTGATGAGCAGTGCCATGTCCGCGCCCAGGATTCCAACCAACTAAACACTGGGCCTCCTGCTGCGGAGCGCGCGAACTTAACCACTCGGCCACGGGGCCAGCCCCAACAATGAGATTTTTTAAAGTATGCTTTCGTATACTATGACCCCTATCAACCAAAACCAACATAAAAATAAATATGTAGTTAGAGACCAAGTGACAGTCCTAAAACACAGAGTCACACGCAACACAGCATATATAAGTCAAAGTGCAGGGGATTTGGAATCAAAGGACCTGGGTTTGAGTGGCAGCTGCCCAAAGTCTGTATGATCTTAGAAAATTTTCTTAACTTCTCTGAGTTGCAGCTACCTTATCTGTAAAATGAGAACGACAATAGTGTGTTCTTGGCAGGATCATAGGAGGAAATGTCATAGGCAAAAGCAGTTAGAAAAGAACGTGTGATGAGGATACAAGTTGTGATACACAACAGCATGTTCACTTTCAGCATATACCTCACAGGGTTTCAACAGTGCTGCATTTATTATTTTTCGTGTAGAATTCACAGTGCTTTCAAGATACTCATGGATGTGCCACAAAAGTATCACTCTTAACATAAAATCTTATAACAAATTTTCATTTCTTTTCCTTTCTTGATATTACAAATATGAAACAAATGTGTCTTTTCATTAAATATTCACAGCAACCCTGAGTAGTCGTTAGACTCTTTTTATAAATGAGGAAAATGAGGCCTAGAGTAGTGAAGTGAGTAAATGAAGTTCAAAAAGCTAGGTGAGTGTTAGAACTGGGACATGAATCCAGGTCTTTCTGACTCCAGCCCTTGGTCTTTGTACCATGAATACTACATAAGGCAGACGGAGAAGAGAAAGAGTGTGTGGGCCAGTCAAGTCAAAAAACAAAATTTCAGTAATAATCATGAGACTTTTAGGGAGGAGTCTAAGATTATGGTAAAAAGACTGCCACTTGTAAAAACCAGTTTTTATGATACAGTTAATGTACTAGCTAATGATCTTAAATCCTTGTCAAAAATGAAGATATCCCTAAAGAAAGCCAAAACAAATCACACCAACCTGTTTTCTGTAACACCTGTTTTCCTTCAACATTGGATCCCAGGATTCCAATTGTGTCCACTGCTACACCAACCATGGTGGGGTCCTGACTTTCTGTCATTTCAAAGACTTTTTCCACAAAGGCAGGATAACGCTCACAGACCTGTTGAGGACTATCCATGATAGCCAGGTTTCCAAAAAACTTCACAAATCCTAAAAATATTAAAATATATTAAAAATAGATTATTTTAAATTTTAATATATTAAAAATATAGAGGAGGAAGACAGCATAAATTGTGGGCCCTATGTTTTCATAGGGACAATAATAAACTACAGGCCAGAAAGAGGAAAAAGGTTATGGCACTGTATTCCCTGGAAATCAGACAGACTTAATAAGAAGGACCTGTGATGTTTGGTCCTGAGAGAACAGAAAACCCAAGGTGTTAATGGAGCTGGGTCCAAATGCTGAAGCACTGTCATATGCAAGAGGGAGAACAAAGAAATCACAGGAAGGCAAGTTTGGAGTTATTATTAGGAAGAAATTTTTAGACAGAGATGTTCATCAATGAAATAAGCTAAGCTACCTAAGGAAGGAATAAATCTCCAAATTCTGGAAGTGCTCAAGAAAAACGAATCAACCATGTCCTAGAAGAGAACGGCTGGAGTAGATCTTATATTAATAAAGATTCCAACTCAGAAGTTTGATGAATCTGTGAAATGTACTGTAAATGTTGTGACTAGTACTTTTATTTTTCTTTTGGCTGAGGTTGAAAGGAAACCATCCTAATGCTCTAAGTAGCAATACTTCCAGAAAATGACAATCAACAGTTCATAGCTTCCAGGGCAATAGAGTCTACCTCATTAAGGGGCTATGGGTATTATCTCAAGGGAAGCAGCTCTCAAGAAAACAATCCCTGGCCACCCCTGTCAGAGATAACTCAGAAACAAAACATGCACCATCATTTCCACAGGCATCAATATTTCTTACCTGGCAAATAGAAGCTAGAGAAAGGGTCTGAATCTGCCCCAACAATTATATTAGAAATCTGATCAATTACTCCTTCTTGAGCAAGGTACTGTCGTCCATGATGAGTACTTGCCAGCGATGTCACCGTCTCTATACAGGTTGCTCTGAGATGCCAAGATTTTGCATAGGATTAGCATACTTTATAAACTGCTTTCACATAGGTTATCCTATTTAATTCTTTCCATCAAATCTGAAAGGTCAGTGATCCTGGCTCTACTTTTCAGATGAGGACAGAAGGATGAGAAAATTGCAGTGTCTTGTCCAGAATCACGTTGTTATTAAAAGGCAGAGTTTAGACCTAAATCTTGCCCTTCTGACTTGAGGCTCATTATTATTTCCATTATAACATAGTTACTTCCTAGGAAATCTTTTTAAGCTTTGTTTTATTTTGAAATGTCAAACATATACAAGAGTAAAAAGGACAGTACAGTAAGCCCCAATGTACCCATAATCCTGATTGTATAGCTATCAAGATTTAGCTTTAATCTTTTTTCCCCATTTTTTTCTGAATTGTTTTAAAGCAAATTCTAGTCATCTTGTAATTTACCCCCACATATGTCAGCGTGCATCTCTAAAAAACACGAAGTTTTTCTCACATAATTATAATGCCTTTTCCACATATTAAAAAAATTAATAATAATTCTTTGGTATCATCTAATACCTAACCATGATCAAATTTCCCCAATTAACTAAAAAAAGTATTTTTATAGTTGGTCCTAAGGTATTTTAACTGACTATTTGCAAGCTTTTTTTTCTATGTCACAAAATCTGATACAAAGCTAAAAAAAATTAACAAAATTAATTCCCTTATTAGGACTGCTTTGAAACAGTGTAACTGGTGACTGATTTGTGCATCTGAGATTAACAAATTCAGTCACATTTAATGAACATAGGACGATCAGAAAATCATTTAAGACAGGGATAACAAAACCTATGTACACAAAGATGGTAACTATGGTGGTATTATAAGAGGAAAATACTTGAAGCAAACTAAGTGTTCAACAGTGAGGATGTATTAGTAAATTGTGGAATATCAATAAAGAAACTTTTGGCAGATAGTAAAGGGGACTTAGTGAGTAGGGGGCTGGGAGGGAGGAGACTGGAATTAACATTTCTTTGAGGACCTATGTCAACCATTGTCTTGGTCTCTATGGGGTCAATCACGTAATCCTCATATTATCTTCTTTACAGTTGTCATTGTCCCATTTAGGAGAGAGGAGACTTAAGTGCAGAAAGGTTACAATAATTTGTCCAAGGTCAAATAGCTAACAAGTAGCAGAGAGGAACTCAAGTCCAAGTCTTGCTCATTTTCAAAAGTCACGTTTCAGAGGAAGATGGCCATGGATGTTAGCTCAGGGCCAGTCTTCCTCAGCAAAAAGAGGAGGATTGGCAGTAGTTAGCTCAGGGCTAATGTTCCTCAAAAAAAAAAAAAAGTCACTTTTTGTCCATCATGCCATAGTGCTATTATTTAACAACAAACCAACACCAAACAATGTGTACATTAACACAGTAAGTAATACAAAATGGCATCACCATGTGATTGTAACTTTTTAAGACCACACATGCCTAAGGACAGGGAACGCAGTTATTCAAAAGCAGCTGGATTGTCATGCGGGGTTTTGCTAAGTTCTAGTATGCTGTCACAATATAAGCTTCTTCAGGACATACATGAGTCATGAGATTGCAACCTGGGCATAGGCTCTAGTAGGGAAGATCACACTGAGTCCCAAGGTTGTCTCCTGGCCCTCCAGAAGAGGACTTTTTGCTTTAAGAACTCTCTCAGAAAACATACCTGACTAGCACATCCTCGCCAGTCAGCTCTCTGAGGAGCTGGGTCACCAGTCCACTGGTGGCACAGTAGTTTAAAGATTCTGGTGACACAGAAGAAATTTCCACAATTAGCTGAAAGAAAAGAACAGAAAAAGCAGAAAGGTCAAAACAGCCCCAAACTTGTCAGATCTCATTTTAAGTTAAATGTTGGAGTTTACATAATTGCATTTTAAAAAATCCATTGTTTGTCTCCACAAGTAGGAAAACTTTATCAAACACATAAGAAATTACTTTGACACAGAAACACTCCATTATATCTAGGTGTATCTGCGCTTAAAAAAAAAAATCATCAATTAGAGTGCAAAAGCCTGAATCAGCAATAACCGACAGATTGTAAAAATCATTCATTCATTCATTCATGCATACATTCTATCAGTCAATCATTCACAGGCACATCCTGAGGGCTTACTGAAAGATATAGGACACTGAAGGATTTTAAGCACAGGTATGACGGAATCACATTTAGATTTTTTTTTTTTTTTTTAAAGATTTTATTTTTTCCTTTTTCTCCCCAAAGCCCCCCGGTACATAGTTGTGTATTCTTCGTTGTGGGTTCTTCTAGTTGTGGCATGTGGGACGCTGCCTCAGCGTGGTCTGATGGGCAGTGCCATGTCCGCGCCCAGGATTCGAACTAACGAAACACTGGGCCACCTGCTGCGGAGTGCGCGAACTTAACCACTCGGCCACGGGGCCAGCCCCCAGATTTAGATTTTTAAAAGATCATTCGGACTGCATGTGAAGACAGACTAGTGGTGACAAAATAAGGACTCCAGTTTGGATGCAAATACAGCAGTGCACGTGAGAGATACTGGTAGCTAAGACTAGGATGTTGGTGGCTATACCAAGGAAGAGAAATGCATGGGTTTAAGTAAAACCAACATGACGTGATGACTGAATAGATAAGTGGTAGGGAGAACAAAGCCCCACAGAGAATGAGCTTGAGTCTAATATCCAACCATGAGGACTGTGGGACAGGGCCACTTTGTTGCTGCTGTTTTTTATTAGGGGCAGGAGGCAGGTAGAAAAGATCAGGAGTTTGGTTTTAATGAGTGTGAGGGGCCCAGAATATGTCCAATGGGGAGAGAGTGAATAAGCAGTTGGACCCAAGGCTCTGAGCTCAGAAGAGAGGTCTGGGACGGAGTTTATGTTTGAGAGTCATCACCATTACAGGTGGGAAGTGAAATCAGAGGATGAATGATACTGCCTAGGAACGAATACAGAGTACAGTGAGAACAGGGCTCAGGACTTCACCTTCACAAACTCCAACCATTACAAGTTCCATAGAGGATAATGAGCCAGGAGACTGGGAAGAAACAGCTAGAGGCAGAAGGAGAACCAGAACAGTGTGGTATCAAGACATGAAAAGTACGAGTGTTTTGAAGCGAGAATTAGACTGTAGAGGGTTCCATTTTGAATACGTAGCCTATCAACTGTGTGGCCTGAGGTCAACTACTCCATCAACAGTGAGGTTAATGATAATGATGTATAGGGTTTACTGTGAAAACTGAAGATGACATCTGTGAGGATTTAGCACAGCGCTCAGTACAAAGCTCGTGCGAATGAGAGCCATTTCTTCTTACAACTACTACAACTAATTTTTTCAAAGTCCAGTTCCAATGGTATCTCCTCTGTTATAGCACTTACAGTGCAGTGTAAACATTTCTTATCTGTCTCACACTAGGCTGGGAGTTCATCACTATATCTCCAGCACGTGGTATAGGGCCTAACACAGACTATGTATTCAATAAATGCATGCTAAACAAGCCATCTTCCTTCCAATGCAAGCTTGACTGCATCCTGAATTGTAGGCATCAGAAACTGTGCTTTTAGTCTTACCTCATACACCCTGTATCGAACAATGTCATTTGTTTTCATTACATTTTTCAAATCATCCAGCAGATTGCTTTCAAATAAAGCCTCCAGTCCAGCTTGGGTCAGTGATATTCTTGACAGGGATTTAATGGCCTTATGAGGAAAGAAAAGATCTCTAAGTCATAAAAATATAGAGTATTAATATCTACTTCATAAGACTGATGTGAAAATTAGTGCATGGAATGCCCCTTGCCCAATGAGCATTCATTACATTTTAGCTATTATTATTTATAATTGGAAAAGATACATATTATTCCCAACAGAAAACAGATTATGTAAGTTTTGTTTCCTATCAAGCAACCCATTGTAAGCCCTATGATGGATAATTCAGATATGTGTCTTCTAGAAAACAGAAGGGTTTTATTAGTATTTATGTGACATCATTTATTTATTTGATACCATATATCTGTGGTAGCAAATTCAATTACACAGATCATCCATTTAAACCTTTACCTCTCAATCCAGAAGGCCCTTCCTTGCCTTTTAGGACACCAATATCTCTGCGCGTTTAAGCTGATGGCTCTAGCTGACTTACCGCTTTAGCTACAGATAGATTCTCTCCACCAATACAATAAACGACTTGTTTTAGTAATTCAGCATTATTTAGAATCTCAGTAACAGCATCAGAATTTTCAACAATTCTTCCAACCTGAAAGAAAGAAAAAATCAGAAATACTCTTCCAAGGTAGGGCAACACATGAACACACAATGGTCAAATTTCCTTAGCATGCAGTTATTTTAGGAGTTACTGATTACAGCTTTAAGACAAGTCATTAGAAATTCCAAATGACCCAAATTCATTAAAGCTAAACACACATATCGTCTAGTAACATCTTTGAAAGGAAAGAAAAAAAAAAGGTGGGTAAAGAGTTGAGACACTTCAGTGAGTGAAAACAATATAAATCCTAGTTCTGTCAATTTTTAGCTACATTGACCTTGGGCAAATTAAATAACTTCTTTGAGCCTAATATTTGTCAATAAAATGGGATTATAATACTTAACTGCAAGACAGTAATGAAGATTAAATGAGACTAAATAGGTAAAGCACCTACTACACCGTCTGGCACATAAATGATCAATGAATAAATCGATAGTTTCGCCTTTTTGTTGAATAAACAATTTAGAGGAGAAAAGGAAAAACAGTAGTTGAATATGTACTGGATAACTAACTGCTCAGCTCCTAACATTTCAAAAAGATTAATCCTCAGCAGCAGCTCTTCACCCAAATCTTAGTAGGATATTCTGGTTACCAGGGTGATAAGAGTTACTGTCTTAATTGGTTGGTTTAGTGACCTTCACAATAGTACTTCGTTCATGCCGCTATAAGACTTAACATGGCAATCTTTTCCTCTAGACTTGGGGTTCCTTGAAGGAAAGACATACACTTTATTTATCTTGGTGGCACTAACAGTATATGATACAATGCCTGGCATGTAAAAGGAACTCAGTCAGTATTTGATGAATGAATGACTCAGACGGTACTTAGTGGAATTCTTACTTTAGCTTGTATCCCCTCAGGTAGGGTTAGCCATGAACATTAGAATAGCCTCGACACTCCCTAGAGACAGAGAGATCATATTTTCCTTATCGCTTTTTCTTTGGCATGCAGCATAGAGCCTGGTCCAGAGCAAGCAGTCACTAAATGTCAGTTCCTTTATTACGTGCTGGTAAAATGTCATACCTGGGACAGAGTGAGGATTTTCACAGAATCACTGGGGTGGGTGAGCCCCCTCTGCAGGTCACCCTTGAGGTTCCGGGCCACGTGAACTGGCTCCACAGCTTGGAGCAATCTCTCCAGAATGGATACACACAAAGCAGTCTGTTCCCTAAAGGAGGCACCATAGCTCTCATTAGTTCATGTCTTGCCAGGTAGGAAGTAACAAGCTAAGAATATCTGCCACTTAGCTCAGTGAGGATCCCTTCCACACAGACTTCCCTTTGAAACACTAGCTTCTACTAATTTATTAAATAATTTACTAAGTACCTATTAGTGCCATGCCTGTGCTGAGGCTACAAAGAAGGATAAGATATATTCTCTAGCCTCAAAGAGCTCAGTCTAATGGAAGATATGGAAAAACAGAAAGGCAACTATAATCCAGGTAGATAAATGCTATAGGTTCGGGCTGGAAGCTGTGGGAGCTCAAATAAGAAGACGGTACAGAGAAGGTCTCTCAGAGGGGTAACACCTGAGATAAACTTTAAGAAAAGGTGAGAGTTATCTCAGAGAAGACAGTACCTGTTCTAGGAAGAGGGGGTAGCAGCACACGAAACGGCAGAGAGGAATGAGATAGTGTTATGCATTCAAGGAACCACAAGTAGCTTGGTATGACTAGGTCAGAAGGGGAGAGAGGTGGGGAGGAGGTAAAAGGTGGGAGATGAACAGCAAGACATAAAACAGGAAAGACGCCCAGAAGCCAGATTTTGATAGGTCTTTTATGTCCCGCAATGGAACTTAGCCTTTTTCCAGAAGGCAATGACAAGCCATGAAGCAGTTTTAGAGCACAGAAGTAACATGATGAGATCTGACTTATAGAAATCACTCTGCATCAGTGTTAGAGAAAGAATTTTCAGTTAGAAGGCATCATTGAGGGGCCGGACCCGTGGCCAAGTGGTTAAGTTTGCACGCTCCGCTTAGGTGGCCCAGGGTTTCGTCAGTTCGGATCCTGGGTGTGGACACAGCACCGCTTATCAAGCCATGCTGAGGCAGCGTCCCACATAGCACAACCAGAAGGACCCACAACTAGAATATATAGCTATGTACTGGGGGGCTTTGGGGAGAAGAAGAAAAAAAACAAAGATTGGCAACAGATGTTAGCTCAGGGGGTCAACCTTTAAACAAAAAAAAGAAGACACTGTTGACAATGAGAAGTGATGAAGGAATAAAACAGGCGAGTAGCAGTGGGGATGGAGAAGAGGGAAAAGATTCAACAGCTATTAAAGAACTAAATTAATCAGAACTTGACTACCAGATGTAGATACAGAAGGTGTTTCAAGAGTAACTTCCTCATCTCTTAATAGGCAGTACAAGTAAATGGGCACTCACATACCGCTAATAAGAGTATGCAATTAAATTGGTACACATTTCTAAAAGGTGATTAAGCAATACACAGCAAAAGTCTTAAAAAGGAACATATCCTTTTAATTTAAGGATTGTACTTTGCATAACTGAGCCTAAAGGAGTAATTAAGAATGTTCTTATACCCAAGACAATTGAAAACATATGTCCACACAAAAATTTGTACACAAATGTTCATAGCAGTGGAAACGACCCAAATGTCCATCAATTAATAAATGCAAAATGTGGCATATCCATACAATGGAATATTATTCAATCATAAAAAGGAATGAAGTACTGATACATGCTACAACATGGATGAACCTTGAAAATATGTGAAGTGAAAGAACCCAGAGGCAAAAGTGTTCCTTTCGATGATGATTCCATTTATATGAAATGTCCAGAATAGACAAATCCATAAAGACAGAAAGCAGATTCCTGGTTGCGAGGGGCTGGAGGAGGGGATAAGAGGGGGAATGGAGAGTTACTGTTAATGGGTACATGTTTCCTTTCCTCTTTTAAAAAACTGCAATTGTACATATCATAAAATTTACCATTTTAACCATTTGTAAGCAAACAGCTCAGTGGCATTAAGTGCATTCACACAGTTGTGCAACCATCACCACCATCCATCTCCAACAACCTTTTTCATTTTCCCAAACTGAAACTCTGTATCCATTAAAAACTAACTCCTCATTCTCCCCTTCCCTCAGCGGGTAGCAACCACCATTCTACTTTCTATCTATAGGAATTTGTCTACTCTATGCACCTCATACAAGTGGAATCATACAGCATTTGTCCTTTTGTGTCTGGCTTATTTCACTTAGTATAATGTCTTCAAAGTTCATCCATGTTGTAGCACACGTCAGAATTCCCTTCCCTTTTAAGGCTGAATAATATTCCGTTATATGTATATAACACATTTTGTTTATCCATTCATCCACTGATGAACGCTTGAGTTGCTTTGGTGATTTTAGTTTGTTTTAGCCATTCTAATAGGTATATAGTAGAATCTCAATGTGATTGTAATTTGCATTTCCCTAATGACTAATGATGTTGAGTATCTTTTCACGTGCTTATTTGTCAGCCATATATCTTCTTTTTCAAATATTTTGCCCATTTTTAAGTTGGGTTCCTTTCTTGTTGTTGAGTTTTGAGAGTTCTTTATGTATTCTGAATACCAGTCCTTTATCAGAAATATTCTTTGCAAAGATTTTTCTCCATTTGTGACTTGCCTTTTCATTCTCTTAACTGTGACCCTGGAAGAGCAGAATGTTTAATTTTGATGAAGTCCACTTTATCCATTTGTTCTTCTACGCATCATGCATTTGGTGTCACATCAAAGAAATCTTTGTTTAACCCAAGGTCACAAAAACTTTTTCTAAAGTTTTCTTCTAGAAGTTTTATAATTTTAGGTTTTATATTTACGTTTATAATCCACTCTCATACACTGCTGGTGGGAATGTACAATGGTAGAATCACTTTGGAAAACAGTTTGGCAGTTTCTTAAAAGTTAAACGTACACCTACCATATGATCCAGCCATTCCACTCCTAGGTATTTACTCAAAGAGAAAAGAAAGAATATGTCTATGTCAAGACTTGTACATAAATGTTCATAGCAGTGTTATCTGTAATATACCCAAACTGGAGACAATGCAAATGTTCATCAACAGGTGAACTGATAAACAAATTGTGGTACATCCATACAATGGACGACTACTCAGCAATAAAAAGGAATGAAGTATTCATTCACACCACATGGATAATACTTAAAATTATGCTGAGTGAAAGAAACCAAAAAAAAGAGTATATATTGTATGATTCTACTTATATAAAACTCTAAAAAATAAAGGCAAACTCATCGATAGCGATAGAAAGCAGATCACTGGTTGCCTGGCTGAGGCAGGGAGGGATCACTAAGAGGCATGAGGAAACTTCTGGGGGTGAGAGATATCTTTGCTATCTTGATTGTGGTGATGGTTTCATGGGTATATATGTGTCAAAACTCGTTAAATTGTACATTTTATTATGCACAATTTATTTTATGTAAATTATATCTCAATAAAGCTGTTTTAAGAAAAAGCAACGGTAGGTTAAACTGTGTAGTGCACAGATTTCAAGTCGCATGTGGCCCTTTGGTACCAAGAAGCCAAAGAGTTAATAACTTACAATCAGTCTTGTTTGACTTCCGTGTTGTAAAGCAGTAATCTTAGGACATACTTTCCCTCACAGGAACTCCTGTCGAGATTGTAGATTCACACCTATTAGACCAGACCTTGAACTAATATATAGCAACCTGTGTGCTTTAACCAGGATAACAGCAATGTATCTGGAGACTGCCAATCTACTATCCAGAGAAGAATTATTCCCACAAACTGCAGTTTGTATCTACTATGTAGCCAGTTCTGAAGTACCCTGCCTTTAAATTTTCATTAAGATTGTTTGCTAGAGCACTGCTCCTTCATTCAGCAAACCATCTCCCCCACAGAACTTATTCTTAAGACTCCTCTTCGTTTCAGTTCCTACTGCATCCCTGGTGTTAACTTATGATATGAGCCTTGAAAGTCTCTTCATCTATAAGATAAAGTGGTTGGACTAGGCCTCTCTAAAATTTATGAGTCTAATCTTTTATTTAGCTTATATTGTATTATGTGTTGCACCCTAGGAGGGTTGCAGAGATGAACAAAATATGGCCCCTGCCTTCAAAGAATTTACAAACTAGAAATAAATACATTTGGAGCTATAATATATGGCAATAGTGTAAAGCATCATTAACCGAAGTTATGATAATGTCCCTCAGAAGATCTGAGGACCAGTCACTTAAGTGACTAAGAAAGACTATATGCAGTGGATGGCCCCTCACCTGGGCCTTAAAGGATGGTCAGATTTGGAGAGAGGGGAGGGCATTTCAGTTAGAAGGACTGGCATGACTAAAGTTAGGAAAGTGCCAAGTCATGCTCAAGAGAAAGTGAGTGGTGCCACCTGGTATCTGGAGGAGATGAAACACATGAATAGGAGTGGAGGGAAAAGTTGAGGCTGGAAAAGTAGGGTGGAAATATGCTGTAAAGGTCCAAATACCAGACTAAGAAGTCATGATTTTACACTGTAGGCAATGGGAAACCACGGAAAAGATGTGAGCCAAGTGACCTGAGAAGTTCACTGTGGTTGTGGCATAGCAAGGACATGCTAGAAAGGAAGCTTTGAGGTAATAAGAAGTCAGACAATGCAATAGACCTAGCAAGAGGGAGAAAATGAAGGACTCAATGAAAGTGAACAAATAAGGGATATTTCATAGACAGACCTCAATAATGTTACCTGATGGATTTAATGACGGGAGAACAAGTATGAAAAAGGGAGGAATCTTAGGCTAGAGCCAAGAGAGCCTTCCGAAATCATCCAGTGTTGATTCAATGACTCATCCTTTTCAAGCAGAAAGGTCACTTTTAAATTTCTGGATCACAAACATTTTAAACCCTTTTACATTATCAGATGATCAAATACAAAGTGTTTCTTAACCAAATATCACAAATGTGCATAAAATGAAAAGTAAAAGTTGCCATCCTACCATTCTAAGTCCCACTTCCATATTAATAGTTCCTGCTGTACCTTTCAGATATTCCCAATGTTATACTAGCCACTGTGAGTTTGAGGGGAAGAGTGTAATCCTTTTTAAAAATTACACGTAATGGGATCATAAACTCACACGATTTTTTTTCATTCAACAACATATATTAGAGATCTTGCCATGGCCACATATATAGATCTATCTCAGTTTTTCTAATCGCTGCACAGAGTTACATACTAATGTGTCACAATTTATTTAGAATCCTCTTTTAATGGATATTTAGGTTGTTTCTAGTTTCTTGCTTTCACCTTCTGCTACGGATATCCCTGCATAGGCGGTGCATTTGTGTGGGAGTACACCTGCACGTTAAGATTCTACAAGAATTACTGGATCAAAAGGCAAGTGAATGAAAAATGTTGACGGATCTTGCCAGACTGCCAGGATAGTACCCCTTCATAAGAGGGGGAGAAAAGCTAAAGGCGTGTACACAGGATTGTGGCGTCCTCCCTGTAGATGGGCAACCCTGCTTCCTCCTCCAATTCCTATTTCAAGGATGAGGGCAGTGAGGCCAGGGGCACACCGCAGAACCTGGACTTGAACCCTGTCTCTAGCCTCTCGGCCCAGGGACCTGCCCTCTCTGAATTTCAGCTATACGCTACCCTCACTGCGACTGGGCAAAAGCCTTCCCCGTCACCCCAGCCACCCGGGTGTCCATGCTCGGGGATGTCACTCTCCCCCATTCAAGCCGCGGGGTCCTCTCACCTGTGGTTCTCGTGGAGCAGCGAGAAAAGCGGCCCAAGGTGCAGTTCCGCCGCTTGCTCGCGGAGCTCGCTCAGCGGCACTGACTGCAGCACCGACTGAAGCGCGCGCAGCTCCTCCAGCGGCGCTTCCAGCCGCGACACCTCCCTCAGCAGCGCCAGCGCCTGGGCCGCCATCATGCCCCTCCCGCAGGGGCTCGCGGGCTGTCGGTTCGGCCCTCTTCCCGGCGAGCTTCCCTGAGTCTCGCGAGATCTGCCCGGCGCAGCCTGCTTTTCCCGAGTTTCGGCTGTGGCTGCGAGCTGCTGGGGCCGCACCAATAGCAATGCGGAGCTGGCGGGCTGCGCGTGCTCGCGGGCTGTCAAGCCTCGCGAGACAGCGGCCGTTAGGGTCGAGCCGATGGTCGCTAATGGGTGAGGGGTCGCGCTCGCGCGTCATCGCGGGCGCCGCTCAGTTGGTCGCGCAGGCCGACTCTCGGGTTGGGTTGCGTGTTTCGCAGAGAGAGCGAAGGTTCGTCCTCTGCCCGGCTAGCGGAGTGGTGAGAATGAGGACATCCCCCAGGTTGAACGGCTTCGCGGGCGGCCTCCTGCTCTCCAGCCGGACCCTGGGCTGTGGCGAGAGCGGCGGTGCTGGAGGCCGCTGAGGCTCGGGCAGCCCTGAGGCCACCTCGGGGGGGCGGAGGCGATGGGCATCCCGCTGCCCGGCCGGTCACGTACCAAGAGGAGGCGAAGTGGCATGCCTCTGGAAGACACGATGAAAATTCTCGAGAAGCTGGAAGACGGCGTGAGTAAACCGACGTGGGGCGCCTTTCTGGCGTCAATGAGTCAACCGGGCGAACCATGAAGCAAAACACCAGGGTCATTAGGGCCAGCCTGGAGAGTATTTCGCCCGTCTGCTCCGGGGTGCTGTGCATTCTCCGTGACGTAGACGTGCCAACACTGGAGACTGAGTTAACCTGAGTCGAGGACCAGACCAGAGCGGGGCGGCCTGTGATGCTGAGGGCCGTCTGCAGCCAGGCCAAACGCATTTACAAGCAACTGGTGGAAGCCACTGGGAAAGGCAACCCAGATCAGTGTCCTGCGAGCAAGGGATGGTTTGAGAAGTTTAGAAATCGCTACAGTCTGCGAAATTCGAGGCTGATGGGGGAGGAAGAACCGTTAAATGCCCAGTCAGCACCCAAGTATTCCAAGCAACTCCACAAACTGATCAGAGCTAGAGGCCAAGTGCCTCAACAGATCTTCCTCGCCGAGGAGATGAGCTTGTTTGGGAAGTGCATGCCTTCTCGTACTTTAGGGAAAGACGAAAATCCGGAAAGCTTAGAGGAAACCACAGGATTTCCCTCATTTTTTAGTGCCAGTGCACAGGTGACAAAATGATGAAACCATTGCTCCTTTATAAAAACCCTAATCCCACTTGTCTTCTGGAAAAAGATAAAAAACGCCTTCCTGTTTTCTGCTGATCACACCCCAAATTGACATTAGCCGCTGTCCTCTTTTTGGATTGGTTTCATAATTGTTTTATCCAAGCGCGGAGTTATTTAGCAGAAAGAAATCTTGAATCAGAGTGTTGCTAGTTTTGGACAGAGGTCCCAATCACCCAGACTCATTATTCTTGGTGCATATAATGATAATACTGTGTTTCTCCCTCTGGAAGGCACTAGCCGTCTTCAGCCCTTGGATCAGGGTATAATTGAAGCATTCAGGAGGTGTTACACCAAGTATGTATTTGACCAGTTTGCTGACTGTATTGCAAAAAACGCTTGCCTTGCTTTGAAAGAAGCGCGGCAAGTACAGCAGTGCTTTGGTAGTAATAAAAGAGGTGATGGATGAAAACCAGCCGCTCTTAAAGCCTGGTGGAAACTTTGAGAGGATGTTGTGAGTGATTGTGCATGTTTCCCTAAAGCCAATGAAGAAGTTAAAAAAATCATAAAGTCTGCAAAACAGATGGGCTTTAAATTCATCAAAATCAGTGAAAGTGAAATTAACAAGCTATTCAAGTTTCAAGCTTTAGCAATAACTGAGAGAGAGTCTCCATCCATAGATGAGGAAGAAGGCAAGTCCCTGGAACCAGAGGTAAAGATGAATCTAGGAACACTGGATGCTGTCTTAGACCAGGCCTCAGACCTCACTGATGCTGCAATTGATATGGATCCTTTCCTGGATTGAAGTTTGGCCTTTAAAAAAGATTTCAGTGAAGTGTTCTATACCTATAAAGAGGTGCAAAACAACCTTCAAAATAAAGCCAATGAGTTGAAGAAAGAGAAAGAAGACACAAACAATAAAGAGGAATTAATGTGGGTGAAGGAGGTGGATACAGAATCTGAGTCTGAAGGGGAGTCTGAATCTGATTCTGAATCTGATAAGGAGGAGGAGAAGGTAGAGAGAAAGAGGATAAGAAACCTCCAGAAGAGCCTGAACCCTCAGGCAGTGGCCCTAAGAATCTTACTATATCTGAAGAATCTGCCAAAGCCATAAATGCAGACCTGGACTTTTGGAATCTAACTTTGGAATTGAATCTGGAGAGAGTAGAGATACCTGAGTTGAAGGAAGAAAAAACTCCAGAGGCAGTTTCTTCCAAATAACAGCTCATCTCTTGCCATCCTTCCCCTCTTGTCCTAACATCATCTTCATCGTGACCATCCTTATAATCATCAGCCACACATCCATCTCATTTAGTCATTCAACAGACATTTATTGAGCATAAACTCTGCGGGGTCCTGTGCTAAACTTGGAGACGCCATCTCAGGAACTCACCTCAGGATCTAAGGTAAATAGTTGTTGACAGTGACCTTTCTTATTGTAATAGGTATAAAAGATCCCAGTCTTGACTTCTTTTTGTAGACTTTGAATATAATGGTTTTCTTAGGACCACTCAGCCTCATTTTCTCTAACTTTATTTTTTCTACAGATACTAAAATCTTTAATCACAAGTGGAGCTTTTCTGAGTTAACCTTGGTAGTTGGCATGAGACTAGTAGCTCTTGAAATGCTGACATAGTCTTAGATTTTATAAGGCACTCTGATATTCATCTTCTCTGTTAATCCTCACTTTAGGCCTATGAAGGAGGTGTTAGCCCTTCTTTTACCAAAAAACCCTCAAAAGCTCAGAGTGGTTAAGTAACTGGCCTGAGTCTGCACAGCCAACGGTGTAAATGATAGGACTAGGGCTATAATTGATTTACTAACTTTGTCAGACACTTTGCTAGGAAATGGATCAGGCCTTTAAGAATTTATAGTCCTAAGGAATGAGACAGACAGGTAAACAGGTAACTAAAATAAACACAGAGGCTGTGAACTGGAAGCCTGCGGCTAGATTTGGCTGACGGATGTGTCTTCTTCTGTCTGCCCAGTTAACGGAATTTTGAATTGGTTTCTAGCTTCCCCCTTCCCTTTGTTTAAGCTACTATTTACATACAATACACTTCACCAGTTTCAGTCTACAGTTTGTTGGTTTTTTTGACACTTGTGTAACCACTCCCACAATCAAGATATAGAACAGTTCATTTAACTTAAAAACGTTTGCTTGTGCCCTTGTGCACTCAATCCCTTCCCCCACCTCAGAAATATCATATTTTAAAAACTAAGATATTTCGCATTAAAGAGCTGGATTAAGAAATTGGAAACCCTGGCAACAGTGGACTCTGCATTCCTGAAGGGCAGCTTGCTGCTTTCTTGTTTGTTTCAGCTCCCTATGGTGCTCTTAAGTGTGGCAGCAGAAGTGTGTGCAAAGTGCCTTAGGGGACACTGAGAACTGTGAGCTTAACTCCGGGAAAGGCTGCAGCGAGCAGCTGCCCTGGAAAGGTGAGTGCACTCACAGGGAGAGCAGTCAGAGCCGGAGCCTTCTAAGCCGAGGAGGACTAGAAGGGAGATCTGGGAGGAGGGGGTCATGTGGGGTCGGGGAGGCAGCTGAGTGTGCTTCACTCACTTGTTTTTGTTGGCAGGACGGGCCTGTATAAAGTGGGAGAGTTTTGCATATGTGTATTATTGTTTGTGCGCTGTGGTTTCTGAAGGTTTTATGTATCTAAGAAACTTAGATCTTTTTATCTGTACATCTCTGGGGAGTTCAGAGGTTTTTTTTTTTTTTTTTTTTAGTTGTTAGAGTGGGGAGGGAAAATTAGGATTTTTATTTTTGTAGGAGTTGTAGATCTGCATGTGGTGCTTGGGTTTTGTGTTTCTAGAGAGTTGCCCAGTGAAAATTACTCCCTCTTGCCCCGCCCCGTGCACTGCCTCCTTCCGGCTAGCCTGTCTGGGGCCTGGTGGGGTGAGGGCCCAGCAGCAGGTGGTGAGGGGAGAGGGCAGTTGAGGCCCTCAGTGCCCGCCCACCAGTCGGCAGCTCAGCCTGGGGCTGTAGATCCCCAGGGCTGTGCTGCTCAATTACCAGCGACGCCATGGACAAGCTGGGCTCACGGTGCCCTCTGCCAGGCTACCCGCGGCCCTCTGTCTTTATATGCCTCCTGGTGAGTGCCCCACGCTCCGACGCTACGAACCCCCTCAGCCCAAACCTCTAGTCTGAGGACTGAGGGAAGAAGGCGTGTTTCTCTTTAGTGCTCCTGGGATTTTGAGCTGGGGCAGGCAGGTAGAGGGTGGATGGTAAAGTCCCTGGAGACACCACCGGTGTCTTGGAGATTGTGGCGTGGTTCTGAAGGTTACCTTGTGAGGAGGAGTGACTGGGCTGTGTTTCGTTGCCAGGGTGGTCGGAGAGGGGAAGGGGTGTCTGCTAGTGAGTTCTCGTCTAGATTCCTTTTCTCTTTGTATTGCAGTTACGGTCTTGTTTTTCTGTATTTTTCTGGGGGCTTTGTTTTTGCATTTCTGAAATATCTTACAATGTTAAAGTTGGAAATGACTACAGAGTGTCTCCAGTGGTGGTACCCAGGGGTCTAGCCCAGCTCTGCTGCTCACTTTTTGGGTAATTTTGTTCCCTTATTTTCCTCATCTGTAAAAATGGGCACAAATGAGTGGCCCTTAACCTTTTTGGGATTGTAATTTTTCTTGAATTTTTTGGGAGAAAGTTCTGAATTTGCACCCAAGGAAAATGTATAGATAAACACGAAAGTTGCATTCACTTTCAGAGTATTCACGGATTCTTTAAAACTAGGATGGCAAGTATAGAACCACTAGGTGGTTTCTGAGGCCCCTTCTCCCTAACAGACTGTAAAGTCAACCATAACCTCCTAAAGGCTCTGCAAATACTCCAGGACAAAAAAAGGAAAGAGGCAAAACGAAACATGAAATAATCCAAAGATACGTAAAATGTTTGAAAAGAACATAAAATTAGAAAAATACAGTAAAAGACATAAATATGAAAATGTTATAAAAACTTTAAAAAATTATAGTAGATCTTTTCCCATTATAATGTCTCTCCTAGGGAATATTGTGATGTGTGTATTTTCCATCAATTTTGCATTCATATAATGTTGCTTTCTCACATATTGTGGTCCACTCTTGGTTCCAAACTGAACTTTCATGCCGATACTTTGTTGATATGGTCCACAAATGTTTCTCAAGTCCATACTCCATGCCAGGGGTTGTAAAGTGCTGGAAATACAGAAGTAAATGAGACTGAAGAGCACATGTCCAATGCGGGAACCATGTGTAAACAACTGTCTGTATTTCAGTTTGATCAATGGTACAACAGAGGGATGTTTAGCAGCAGTACTGGCCTCTCCCCGCTAAATGCCAATGGCATCTCCTCCCCAGTCATGACAGTGAAAATTCTCTCCAGATATTGCCACATGTCCCCTGGGGGGCAAAATTGCCCTGAGTTGAGAACCACTGGATTAAGTGAAGCTGAAATGACCCTACTAGATCAATTCCTAGTCAATTTTCCTTGCAGTTCAGGGAGCCTAGAATGGGAGGCAGGAGTCTTGGATTCAAGTCTTGGTTCTGACACAGAGTTTCTGTATGTTCTGCTTCAGTTACCTTACCTGTTAAATTAAGGGTTGTCTTAGATACTACCTGAGGGCCCATTTGCCTCTTAGTATTTTGACTATGAGTTCATATAAGAGTTTCAGTACATTTTAGGTGAGTTTATATTTAATCCTGTTAGCTCTGTTTTCCAGTGATACCTGCTGTCTGAAATGCCCCAGATCTTCCCTAGGAATGGTCTTTTTGTTTGGGGGACAGGCCATTGCTCCTTTTGTGTAGAGTCTTTGCTGGAAGCCACCTTGGAGTCGTGTAGTTGACACCTTACAGTGTTCCAATATGTCCAGTTCTCTACTAAAAGCACTGTTAACAGTGGGTGACCCAAAAAGCCCTACTTACTTCCCTACTTATTGAGACCTACTTAGTCTCAGTAACAAGTATCTTGCTTGTGGATTAATTCACTAGTCTACAAGTATTTATTGAGAAACTGCTGTGTGCCGTGTTACAGTGGGGATACAGTGATGAGCAAGGGACCGTCCCTTCCCTTATTGAATTAGTGATTACAAATTGTTTTTCCTATCTTGTTTGAACCCATGGCAACTCTGAGGTAGGCAGCACAAGTGTCGTGATCTCCAATTTCTAGATAACATTTACAGAAGGGAGAAGCAACTTGTCGAAGGCCACAGGCAGTTAGCAGTACTGGCACTAGGATTTAAATCCTACTCTCTTGTGCTTTTGTTTTTTCCTAGAGTCTGATTGAGTTGTCATTAAAAAATATGCACAATAAAAGCTTCATTGGTTTAGTTCAGAGAACTAGTGTGTTGAATTGTAGGTGTTGGTGGAGGTAGTGGGAGGGAATGAGAAACCCAACCCAGACAGGCCTCTAGTCAAACTGAAGCTAAAGACATAAAAACGCTACTCAGGCCCTGCCAAGAAGTAGGAGCCAGGGCCCAGGCGATAATGTCATAGAAGTGGGAGGACAGAGGTTTATTTGAGCAAGACATGCGTCCTGGGCTGGGAGGCAGGAGAAGCACACTCTTGTTCAGTCTTGCCTGAGTCACAGTGGGACTCCTTGCTATTTGCCTCCCTCCCTATTAATGGCTCCATTATATCCTCCAAGCAGAGAACCCTGGAATGGAAGATGTTCTCCAGTTCTTTTCACTTCCTCTTATTTTAAATGTTTATCATTAAAATAGTAAGACAAATTATATGTTGAATGTCTTTTCCTCTCACATTGTCACTGCCATTTTCTTAGCTCAGGATCTTAATGTCTTTTTCCTGGATCATTGTAAGGGCCTTTGAAGTAGACTGTCTTCTGGTCACTCCCCATCCTCCCTGCCATTACTCTGCTCAGCTTGACCATATTATTATTCTCCTACTTAAAAACCTCCAAAAGTACCCTGTTGCTTGAGTGTAAACCTCAGACTCCTTAGCCTGACCCTTTTCTTTACAATTCCAGCCAGCCTCGTTTCCTCCTGATTAACCCACAGATTAAGACCCATGCAGACTAGATATCTCATCTGTCCTTAAGTATCTCTTGAGTTTGTATGCATTGTTTGCTTAGAGTGCCTCCCTCTCCTTTTGTAATCCTGTTTACTATTTCAGATCCAACTGAGGGGGTACCTGCTCTTTGAAGCCTTTTCTTACTCCCTCAAGTAGAGCCTTCCTCTTGGTCCCCCCCAGCTCTCAGTTACAGTAGCACAGGTCACATTGCTTTAGAATTAGGCTACCTTTTCCACTAGGCTATCCACAGCACTTGGCACATCTACAAATGAGTGAAGGTGAAACTAACTCCCTGAAATATCAGTAGATGTCCGAGTTTATCATTCATAATAATCTCCATAGGTTGATGGCAGTTCAGTGGATGCCAGTTGGTGTTACGTCTATCCAGCAATTTTGTACAATAAGAATGAATTTCAAGACATCCAGACTTGAGTCCTTCTCCTGGCTTCACCAATTAAGAGCTATGTGATTTTGAGAAAGTTTCTAGATTTCTGAGCCTCTGTTTTTTTTATCATCTGCAAAATGCAGAGGCATGAAATATCTAGGCATGAAAACTTTGTTTAAGCATTAAAGCTCAGTACAGATCCCAGGAATTATTTTGTGGATGGGGAACAGGGATGAAAAAATGATGCCCAGCCTTGGTTCCAGTCGGCTTGAGCTGGCAGATAGTGAATTGGCCATGTCACTGCTGACCTGTGCTTTTCTTTTCCCATCATGTAGATCCTGATAGCTTCTTTCCTCACATACCCTATGCTCAAGACCCTTAGCCTGCAGCTCCATTCAACTGTCACCGGCAGCTATGTCTCCGGCACTTACTCCATCGTCTTTGTCAACTGTCCCAACGAACAAATTGCCAGAGATATTGCCAGGTATGGTGAAGGGGCTTATGTGCTGCCTCACGAGGCTTGGGGGGGCTCTCAGGATGCTCCAGAGGGGTCACTTTTGGGCCCTTCTTTTGCTCCTGACAACCCTGTCTGTCCAGTGATGAACTACACAGCTGTCTGCTTGGGGTGATGTAAGGAGCATGGCTGAATGATTCCCCCAGAAGATCGTGAAAATGCTGAGTGGCGCATGGGGGCATGTAAGGGATGTGAGGCCCAGGGAGATAGGTAGCTCGCCCTACATGTTAAGGTAAGAGAACAGTGGAACCCTGCAGGCTGAGGGTTTAAGTCTGATTCCTGGCCCAGCTCTCTTTCTCCTTGGAGGTAACCTCTTTGCCCAATCTTGGAGGCACTCACTGTGACAAGTGAGGAGGAGGAGGCCGTTCCAAGTATTTGGCAAATTTCTGAAAGCAGCTGTGGTGTGGCAGAAAGAGCACTGGACTTGTAATCAAGTTTTAATCTTGGCCCTGCCACTTTCTAACCATGTGACCTTGGGCAAATTGCTTCCCTTTTGTAAGAATTGGTTTTAATGCTTAATTAGTTTAAGAATTAAGCTTAATTAATTTAATGCTTAATTAAACTAATTTAGTTTTAAAATTATAAAATGGGATAATGCCACCTACCTCACAGGATTGTTGTGAGATTAAATGATATGAAATACGTACAGTCCTTACCCCAGTAACTTGAATGTAGTAGATGCTCAGTAAATGTGTGTTGTATCTGAATTTCCCCCCTTCCCTCCTCTTTAGAGCTGTAGCTTTGAAGAGGGTTAGTGGGGCTGGAGGGTATTGGATATGGCTCCTTGCCCCCTTTCGTCTTGCTCCTCAACTCAGCATTCTTGAAGTTTGATGATAGACAAAGTTAAAGTGTTTTAAGATGTTGAATCTGATCTTTGTGGGCATACAGCCTCCAAATCGTTGGTCACCGGTTAACTTTCATTTAATTCTGTCTTTTCTGCTCCCAAGCAGAGTGTCTATTTTTCCCTCATTAATATATTACCTTTGGAGAATAGCTCTTATCTAAAAGAACCTATGATTACTTCAGAAATATGACTATAGTATTTAGCAGCTAGGAATTGAAATCCCTTCTGATGCTTCTGGTATATCCAGGGTCCCTGCTGAATTGTCTGGACCCCTGGATTAGCCACTCTGGGTCCTGTCAGAGAACAACTTCAACTGACATCTGTGAGGCTGGGTATTGGGAGGAAACGCCTGTATTCTAACCAGTTGAAAGGCCGGTACAGGTAAATGGATCAGCATGAGCTTGGAGAGAGGTCTCTGTTGTCTTCTTGCATCCATGGTTGCTGATGAGAAGCCTGGTGTTTATTGGGGTCTCACTCCTTTGTAGGTAATGCTTTTTCTCTCTGATAGTTTTTAGGATTTTCTCTGTCTCAATGTTCAACTATTAATTTGTTAAATATTCTCTCTATTCTTTCTGTGTCCTTTTCCTCGAACTCCTTTTAGGTTGATGTTGAATTTGTTCTTATGACTGAACTTTATTTTTCTGTTCCCTTATTCTGCATACTGGGAGAATTTCTGTGCCCAGTCTTCTCTCTTATTTGTTTTTCAGCTGTGTCTATTTTGCTATTCAGCCCTTATATTGAGTTTTTTGTTTAAATGATTGTAGTTTTCCTTTTTAAGATTTCTAATTGTTTTTTTAACAACCAAATGCTTTTGTTTCATAATTATCTGATCTTATTTTGTGGATGCAATTACCTTGCATTATCTTTCTGTGGATATTAATTATTTTAATTTTATTTTTTTCCAGCTTTATTGAAATATAGTTGACATATAACATTGTGTAAGTTTAAGGTGTGCAACACGATGATTTTATATACATACATATTGTGAAATCATTACCCAAATAGGATTAGTTAACACATCCATCACCTCAGTTACCTTTTTTTGTCATGAGAACTTTTAAGATCTACTCTTCTAGCAACTTTCAAGTATAGGTAATTATACTTATTTTAAAATCTTGGTTTTGAGTGTTTTATTAACTGTTTTTCATCTTATCTAAATTCTTTGGTTTGTTGAGTTTTTGTCTCTCTTGGTATTGACTTTCCTCAAATACTTGGTGATTCTTAATTGTAACCTCTCTCATCTTTTTAGTTGTGCTTGTGGGGAGCTACAGGAACAGCTGCAAGGAATTGGTGTCAGGCAGCACTGTTTTCAGTGTGAGGGTGGGTTGTGGGGACAGTCTACTGGCTGGGGTAGCCTAGTAACTGGTCTTCTGGGCGTGAATTCTCCCTTTTGTCCTTGGCTGTCACCAGCCACTAGGACACTGTTTTGCCTTTTCACCCAGAGTTCCCACTCTCACAGCTTCTGCCTAGAGACAAACACCCCATTACTGTTGCCTCGGCCATGACAGATTTAGGGGGTCCTCCTGCTCCAGCTGTGGCATTCCACCTATTTACTTTGATGGTTGCCTCCCATTTCTTGCCTGCTCTGGTGCCCACCCCCTCCAGATACAGACTGTTGCTCACATCTTCTGTGGTGGTCCCCTTGCACGTGCCCATGCCTGTCTCAGGGCTGCCTTTTATTCTTTGGGGCTTCCTCATAGTTGCTGATATATAAAGCTTTCTCCTACTGTGTTCTGGCATGGTTAATTAATAAATATTTTCTGTCGTTTCTAGGGTTTGGTGTAAAAGGAGAGACTGTAGTGTGTGTTCAGTCCGCCAAGCTGAACTGGAAATCTAAAGTGGAGTCTTTAGTGGTGTGGCTGTGGAGCTCTCACCTCAGCCTGTTCTGTCCAGTATTTTTTATTAATGATTCCAATAGAAGAGAGGCAAACAGGTTTAGTTCCCAGGATTTGTAGGAGAGTAACTGGCTATGTGGTGAGGAAGGCCCCACAGGTGTTAGCTGGCAGGCACCCCAGGTTTAGCTACAGAACTGGTGCTGGGACCAGGTCTTTCAGCTCCAGTTTAGTGTTCTTTAGAGTTTCGTCTGCTGCTTCTCCATTCTGGTTCAGTTCAGTTCTGGTGCCTGACCATGTTCTTAGCTCTCTTCATTGACAGACACATTCTAAATTAGAAAAATCTCTTGGGGCCAGGCTGAAAATCCTGAATCTTGAATCGTGAGACCTGGATTCTAGTGTTCTCTTGGATGCCAACACCACATATGACCTTAGACAAGTCTTTTTTCTCTGGGCTTCAATCTTATATGTGGAGAGGGGGAATGGGATTAGGCCATAGTCACAAACACAAATAGCTATAGGCAGGTAACTTAAATGAGTCAAGTGGGCAGGGGTGTAATGGTGAAGGCTGGTGGTAGATAGCAACCCTTACTCTTTCTAGGTGTTGTGGGGAAAGAGCAATGGAAACTGTGTTGACCTGAGAAGCATGTGTCATGCCTATAGCACTGCTCAGCTCTAGCTAAATGTGGCCTTGTAGGACTGCAGGTCCCATGTTATAAGACTTATTTTTTGGTGAGAGGCTAGATAATCTGTATTTTTTGAATGTGAAATATCCTGATAGTAAGTATTGGTAACAAAGTCAAGATTTTTTTAAATGCCCTGAGAGCCAAACCGTGTACCCGGTCTGTGAGCCCCTAGTCTGTGAACCTTGCGATTTCTAGAGGCCCTAGCAGCACTACACATCTATCCTCTGCTTTCCTCAGAGGAGCATGAGGGCCTGAGCTGCTGGCCTTGAGTGTGTGTGTCTTTTATCTGTCAGCTTGTGTGTTCTCTCTTGCTCTTGCTCCCTCTCTTCCTGTCTCTCTCTTTTTCTTTGGCCATAGGGGCTTTTTGAATAACACAGTCCACCACAGTTCTACAGTCTTCTGCCCAAGGACAGGTTGCCATGACCAGTTTACACTCGCAAAGAGATTGCAAAGGGCCTGGGAGGAAATGGGTTATTTTTTCTAGAGGTTGAACTGGCTGTCTGTGTTTGCATGCCACCTTCAGAACCAATAAAATGTAATTCCTCAGCGGATGATTGAGTGATCAAGACTTGCAGCAGTTGCTTAACAGATTTGTGCCATGTGCTTCTCCTTATGGCCAGGGATTTATTTAGCTCCTGGAACTTTCCAAGGGAATGAGGGTGGTGGTAATGCCCCATTAATGTGGAGCCTTAAATAGAGCATTGTGCAACCTGGAACTCAAGGGAAGAGAAAGTAGGTCAGTTCTCTTGGCAGCAGCTGAGGAAAGGAGGGATCAGTGAGCAGGGCTCAGATGTGTTTATTTGGCAGGGTGCAAGCACTTCAGAGAACAGAGACCGGGTTCCCTTGGCTGCCTAAGACCTGAGAAAGCTTTGTCAGAGTCTGCCTGATGCTGAGGGCTTGAGGTTTTGATGCTTGGAAACATTTCTTTGCATCAATGACTTGGTGATGCTCCTGGTTCTGTGACACCTGTACTAGTTTAAGCACATTTTATTGTGTTCACCAGGGCTTTGCATAGGGATCAGAGACTATCAGATCAGTAATTCCAACTTGTGGTCTGTCAAAAAAACAACTTAGAGATCTGCAAAGCTGATGATTGTGCTCTTAGGGCTATGCTAGAAAGCTTTACAAAAATAAAAGGTGAAAAGAGCCTATATTTGCCAAAGACAAACACAGGATATAATGCTTTTTTTGCTTTTACTTGTAGTTGTATCAGTTCTATGTGGTCACACAGGTATCTACAGATCTTGAGCACTGAGTGTCAGCCTGACGCATGTCTGAGAGATAAAAGCAGGAGAAGGTGGCATAATAAAACGAGTTCTCGGCGGTGAAAAGACTGACTGACGCACTCCTCTCATTGTACAGCAGGAGAATCGGGTTGAGTGAGAGGGACATGCCTATCCTGGATAGGTGCTCACATACTTATTCCTGGAAGGAAAGAGAACACTTGCATAGGTCACACAGCCATCCTACTAAAGGGCCAGGAATGGAATCCAGCTCTTCTTGTTTCTGTCCAGTGTTAATTCCTGTTCCTCAAGCAGACTGGGCCTGTCCTTAAAACTGCCTTCTCAAAGCTGCTTCCCTACTTCTCTCCCCACCCAGGGAAGGACTTAGAACAGCTCTGTCTTCAGAGGCTCTGTGTATGGTGGTTATGGAATGTGTTAGTTTGAGGGGAGAGGGCATTCTAAATGATTATCTACTTAAACTCAGGTTTCCTGGATAATTCCTAGGAGCTCCTGTCCCCTGCCCCTTCTTTAAGATCCTGAACACTTGCCCCAGTGACTGTCACTCTCTCTTTGCTTTAGGGCTATACTGGATAAGAAGCTGGCTGCCTCTGTGAACATCTTACCCAAAGCATCCTCACTGTGAGTTTTGCTATGGTGCGTGGAGTGGGGTGGGAGTGCTAGTTCAGGTCCTGGCTGGTGGAAAGAGCACTGAACTAAGGGGGAATTGTCAGAGAACAACTCAAAGGCATATAATTAATCATCAGTTCACTGTTGATTTGTATTCAAAGGAAATCAACCAGTGGGTTTATGTCATCCAACAAAATCAAAAATAGGTGATGTATAGAGAAGAGAGAAAAAACCCTACACTTTAGGAAGAGTGAATCTTGTTGGTACATTCTTTGTTTAAATCAGTTAGCTTACTGTTAGCAAGTAAGTCAGACTGGCTAGTCTATCCCTGAGAAGGCCAACTAGGGATATCAAAGAAAATAATTTCCATTGCTTTTGGATTCTGTGGAAAAATTTGAGAGTTTAGCATATGTTACAGGCTGTTTCTGTGGATTGTCTGCCTTTCATTTCATTGACATCTTCACTTTAGTTAAGGCTGGTCTGCACCACTCCCCTGATCACAATGTTTCAGCATCCCAGTACCTTCTGGGCAGGTTTATCTTATGTCTTAATCTCTCTCATCAGCCTGTTTCTCATCTTCTTCCTCCCCTCGGGAAAAAAACAAGAGAGAGAGAAATAATGTCTACTCCAAAAGTCAAAACACGAAAGTGCTGTATAATGAAAGCGTGCCCCCCTCCCCCTAAGTGGTGTCATTCCTTCGGTGGCTCACATTATCCATAGCTATGGCTCCCAAGTTTGGCTGTGCTTTAGATTCCTAAGCTCCATGCGAGATCTCACTGAGAGTGAGATCTCTGAATTTTCAAAAAGTTGTATAGGTGATTCACATACAGCCAATCTGAGAACCAGTACTTGGGAACTAGAATAGGATTTCAGCCCAGCAGTCCCTTCATGTGTCCACCCTTCCTTGTAATTGATCCTTTTACCACAGCTCTGTGAGACTGGGCCAATGGCCTCAGTCGTCTTAGACTTGCCCTGGGTCAATGTGTATATTCTTAAGCCAAATTTCTTTCCATTCCCATGATGCTGTACTGTTCTTATACTCTTTTCTAAACATCATCACTGACTTTGTTTTTAATTTTTGGACCTAATTTTTGGACCTGTTTCCATATCTCATAAGGCTCACTTCTTCATGAAGTCTCCTGTGCTTTTTTTATTATCCATTTGCGGGCACTCAACTTTGAGAGTCAGTGATAAAAGTGGCACCAGTCCAAAGGATGAGGAGGGACCTGGAGGCCATGAGTATAGGATGTGCATTGAAAGAGCTGGAGGTGCCCAGTTTGCAGGAGAGAAAACATAGGCGTTTCTGCAGGGCTGTCCTGAGGTGGTGCTTCATGTGGAAGTTGGGGAAAACAACTGGGAGGTCGATGTTGGCACACTAGAAGAAAAACCGTCACATGTGAAAACCTTAAAGGTAGATGGACTTCTTCAAGAGATGGTGAGCCTCTCACCTCCAGGAATGTTCAGGCAGATGCTAGAAGCGTGCATTAGAATGGTTGGACTAGGTGACCTGTGGGGCCTTCACCAACTCTTGACTTTTTTATATGGGCTCGGAAAGATTTTAAAGTTTCCATCTTAGTAAGTCACCTAGTTGGGGCAGATTTGACGTTTCACTGGGGCCATCTTGTGAGCATGATAATTTGGTTTTGTTCTCTTCTTCAGGTACTTTTGGAATGGAGAAATAGAAGAAGCCACTCAGATCCTGTTGGTGAGTGAGGATGGGGGTATGGGGCCTTGATAGGGGAAGAGTGAGACCAAGTCCTTATTCCTAGGTTTCAGTTACAAATTAGCAAAGATCAACTGATTGAGGTTCTTGCCCCACATAAGATGCCCAAGGTTCATTTGTGAGCCAGTGACAGGGCCTGGTGACCTGGGAGGAATGCTGTCTCCTGAATGGCCAGATGAATGAGCAGCTGCAAAGCTGAGGCCCTAAGGCAGTGATTTTTTTTTTTTTCGTTTTACAGTTGATAAAGACAAAGACTTCCAAGGTACACATGCTGTCCAGCTACATCAGGTAATGCTTACATCTCTTCTCAGCCAGGGACATGCTGGGGACTAAGTGAATGAGCATGAAAAGCAGGAGACTTAGAGCGTAGTCACCAGCCTCCCATATGACCGTGTCCCTGTCTCTCAGATTCTCCATCTATAAAATGAGAGGCTAGAATGAGTTAGTTTAAACGAGTAGTTCTCAAAATTTTGGTCTTAGGATCCCTTTATACTTTTCAAAATTATTGAGGACCCAAAAGAGCTTTGTTTATGTGGGTTACATCAGTGGTTACTAATTAGAAATTAAAACAGAAATTAAAAAAATACTTTTAGTTCATTTAAAATAATAGTAATACAGCTATATAGTAACATAATATGTGAACATAATATATATTAACATAATATAGATAACATACTATATATTAACATGTATAACTGTAATATATGCAGTTATATGTTAACATAAATAATGCATTTTTATGGAAAGTAACCATATTTTCCAAAAAACAAAAAAGTGAGAAGAATGGCATCATTTTACATTTTTGCAAAATCTGGCTTAGTAAGAAAGCTGGATCTCCTCAGAAGCATCTTTAAGTATTGGGACACTTTTAAGCTCTGGAGATAAATTCAAGCTTTCCCAACTTCTAATTTTTGCTTGAAAACATGACTTGTTTCATTGACAGGAAATGATGTAAATTTTCCTTTGAATGGTGGGCCTACTTTGTTCATAGGTGAGAAATGTCTACCCTAATGCTCAAACCTGAGTAACCATAATTTGCAAAAGTGACAGATAAATGATGGTTGCTCAGGCTTGAAAGTAAAATGGTGCTCAAGTCTCGTTTAGCTTGTGACTCACACAATCAGACAAGTTTAAGACAACATTGAGCTCACGTATATAGCAGAAGTGCTGTATTTGTGCTTCCCATTTTGTTACATAGAACGTTAAAAAGACATACTCAAGGGTCGAAATTTAATAAAATTAGTAACTTTTACCACTTGATTATGGATGTTCTTAAGTGAATTTGACTTAAAAATTTTTTTTTTTTAACTTTATTTTTTTTTGAGGACGATTAGCCCTGAGCTAACATCTGCTGCCGATTGTCCTCTTTTTGCTGAGGAAGACTGGCCCTGAGCTAACATCTGTGCCCATCTTCCTCTATTTTATATGTGGGACGCCTGCCAAAGAATGGCATGCCAAGCGGTGCCTTGTCCGCACCCGGGATCCGAACCGGCGAACCCTAGGCCACCGAAGCGGAACGTGTGCATTTAACTGCTGCGCCGTGGGGCCAGCCCCAAATTTGACTTTTTTAAAATGCAAGTGGGTGATGGGGGAGAATACAGTGATCGGTAGTACAGTTTGGTGCCGTTGTCTTGAGCATGCTAAGGTGCCAGCAGTTTCACCCATCATAGCTTTTGCACCATCAGTGCAAATGTCAACATAGTGAAAAGATAAATTAAAAGTTACTATTATTGTGACAATAGTTTTGGCCTCATGGACTTCCTGAAAGAGTCTTGGAGTTCCCTAGGGGTCAGTGGACCCCACCTTGAGACCCACTGGTCTATATCCTAATCATGCAAAGTGTGCTTTTTGGAATAATTGGCATCACCTAGAAGCTTGCTAGAACTGCAGAATCTCATGCTCACCCCAAACCTACCGAATCAGACTACAGTTTAACAAGATCTCCAGATGATTCCTATGCACATTAAAAACTTGAGAAGCACTGGTCTAAACTAGTGGTTCTTGATGCTGGTTACTGTAGTCACTTGGAGACATTTTTCAAATTACCAGTTTAGGCCCCATCGCTCAGATTCCAACTTAATTCATCTGGAATGGGGATGAGTATGGTGTTCTTCAAAAGCACCCAGATTGACTCGCATGTGCAACCAGGGATGCAAGGCACCTATCTGCTGATAAAAACCCTTTTCCTCTTCACTTCTTAGGGACTCAGGGTTCTGTGAATATATGGCTATAGCCAGCTCTCAAGTCTAGCAGTACAGAAGGCCCTCAGAGGTGTGGGAATAAGGCACCCTTAGTAGAACCAGCACTGTTGAGAAATGACAGCTTAACTGGTGAGGGACAGCTTCAGGGTTAAAAGGGTGAACCCCAAATCTTGATTGCCAGAGTCACGTTCTGGCTCCTCCATTTGCCAGTTGTAGCATAATTGCATGCAAATTACTTAGACTTTCTGTGCCTCAGTTCCCCCGTCTATAAAATGGGATCATACTAGTACCTTGGGTTGTTATGCATTTTGGAATGAATCTATGTGAAATGTAAACTTGAAGTGCTGTATCAGTGTCAGCTCTTACTACTAAAGTGTTAAAAATGTCTTATTCTATATGTCTGAATACAGTATTCAGACATGCACTGAACTCATCTGTCTGTTTATAAAAATATATATACTGGTCTAAGTGTCCATGGAATAAGTTAAGAAAATTCATTATCCTTGGGCACTGGATGAAATTACCCACCTGACTCCAAATCTTTAAGCACCTATACATATGTTGTGATTTATTAAGCATGCTGTCTCATGAGCATTTTACAGTGCCTCACTCAGCAAAAAAGAAGAGGATGATTATTACCCCCACTTGACAGATGGGAAACTGAGGCCCAAGGCCCCATGTTACTTCAGTCTGGAAAGTGAAGAGAACTTGCATTGTGTGCTCAGGGCTGGGTGAAAGAGTGGGGAGAAGGGAGAGATTCCTTTTGGTTTGGCTGGTCAAGGAAGATCCCTTGGAAAAGGTCAGTGGTTGAGTTGGGCCTTGAGGAATAGAGAGGCTTTTGATTGATCAACAGGAGCAGAGAGAACTTTGTAGGAGGGGAAGAAAATGCAGAGGTATTGAGGCGGGGCGTTGTTTGGGGAAGGCACAGTGACGAGTGTGGGATGGTAATAAAGACAGTAGCTAACGCTTAATGCATGCATACAGTACCAGTCAGTGTACCAGATCAGCACTCTCTAGACCTCGTCTCATTTAATTCTCAGCAGTCCAGCCATGTAGGTGCTATTTTTAACTCTTCTTTTGTAGGGCCTTTAGAGAAATTAAGCGATTTGTGCATGGTTACATAGCTAGTAAGGGGCATACTCAGAATTTGAACCCATGTCTGTGAGACTCTAAAGCCGTCTGGTCCAACTCACTGCTTGCTGACAGGTGGGAAGCGTAGGCTCAGGAGTGGTGGGCCACGGTCCTGGACAGGGGGCTGCAGCACGTTGCAGAGGGCCTTGAGTGAGGCGGGCCAGTCAGGTTTTATTGCATGGGCTGATTCTAATCATAGTCACTCACAGGGCTCTGCTTTCTTTCTAAAGGTTGGTGCATCCTTTTGAAATCCCAGAGATCTTCAGTCTTCTCATGGACCAAGGAGATGTGCAGTATTTGAAGTGGCTGGAGGAGGGCATGGAGGAGGACTGAGTGGGGGAGGCTTTTTGTGCGTCCTGCTGGCTGCCTCTAGCCTTCATCAGCTGCACTCTGGGAAAGGGGAGGCCTCTTTCTGCCTCCTGGCATCTCTGGATTCCATGTTTTTGTCAGCACAGAGGAGCTAAGTAACTTGTGAAGGCTGAAGGTCCGAGGCTCCTAAGGCTGGAAGAGGAGGCTGGGCCAGTTGGGCCAGGCAAGAACCCAGTGGAACTTTTCTCTGAGTGCTTCATGCTTAAAGGTGGCCAGGGGGTGGGAGGGTGATGATGGCTGTGTGTAGGGATCCAGGGGAGGTGGCAGTGAGGGTGAGGTTTGTCACCTTCTCCTGCAGTCACTGTGCCTACCTCGAGTGCCCAAGATGTAATTCCTCTCCTTCTCAGGAGGAGGAATGGACCTCATGACCTCTTCAGCCAGAACTGTGTGGGATGAATGCACCTTTTGGGAAACTGGCAAGCACTTCATCCAAAAGGATGAATTCCTAATGGTGGAATTTCAGGGACAAGCAGGATTATTTCTCCAGGCGAAAGATGGTGTTTGTTGTTCCAGAGTCTTGAGGAGGTGGGACTGGGAATGGGCCTCAAGAGTTTGTAGGACAAGGGAAACATTAGGGCTTAGACACAGCCTCATGGGTTGGGAGTAGGTCTTGACTCTTCCTGGCCTGAATGTGACAGACAGCAGAAGCTTCTGGGGCCTTTCTCAGTGGAGACACAGGTTCTGAGCCCGCCATACTATTTCACTTGAGCATTGAAGCTGAACATCCTAAAGTAGGAAAGAACCCTGGGGAATTGCTGGACCAGTGTTTTTCAGACTTACTCCACAGAGCCCCAGGGGTTGACAGAAGGTACTCTGGGGGCTGCCTCGGTGTGCGGGTAAGGATATGAGGCCCCCCCACCCATAATTCAACCAGTACAACTGTGCTTTTATTTATGTATTGAGCTCCCTTGTAAGCTTTGGGGTTTTTTTTAAAAGTTTTCTCTGTTAAAAGTTTGTGAACCAGTGGTCTAAGCCAATCTCCATTTTATAGATTCCTAAAGGAAACTGAACTGCACTGAGGTCCAGAAAGGGGGTGACGTGTTGCATTATGAAGGGTACAGCCAGGCCTGCTCGCCCTGTGTCTGGTGCTCTCCTATACCTGCTCCACGGGTCTTAGGGGGAAGAGAGCAGAGAAGGCAGAGCCCTGTGGGGTGAGAAGAGAGACTTGACCAAAGGCCTCTCTGTGCCTCTATCACAAGGTAACCCTCCTTGGGGGAGACCATGGGCAGTTTGGGTAGGGGTCCACAGATATCTGTGGTATCCTGGGCCTTTCTTCCCCGAGGGAAGGGTGTGTGGGAGGGGTTTTGCCTGGCTCTAGTTCTGACACCTCCTGTGCTTCTTGGACCTTAGTTCCTCCGAATATAAAATGGGGGGGGGGGGGATCTCCAGGGGCTCTTCTGTGAAGACCTTGTAGGGACTTTAGGCTGAGGCCCTTCCAAAGGTTCAGAGGATCCTATGTTGAGAGCCAGTGGGGATTTTGGAGGACTGCCTCAGGAGAAGAATAAAGAGAATGATAATGGTGGTGTCCCTTTTTACAACAGATGTTTGTGATACATATGAAAATCTTGTGTAAGTGTGAAAATCTTGTGAAAACGTTCTGGGGACCCCAAATGGACTGCCCGTTATTGCTTTCAGGATAAAGTCCAATTTCTTGCTTTGGCTTTCTTTTTTCTTTTTTTGGTTTATAACATTGTGTGATTTCAGGTGTACATTATCATATATCAGTTTCTGTATAGACTACATCGTGCTCACCACCAATAGTCTATAGTTTTTATCTGTCTTCGGTCTGGCTTTGAAGGCCCTTCATAACCTTGTCTCCAACTCTGGCAAGTGGATGGCTCCAATATGCTGTGTGATATTACCCCTGATTTCAGGCCATCCCTTCTGCCTGGAGTGCCCTTATGCATGAATGCTCGTGAAACCTGGCTGCTCCTTTGCAAGGCCTGGCTCCCCTGGTTGGAAGGAATCTCTCCTGCTGTGGTGTCCCTGTTATCCTCGTGCACCACAACCAGCCTCCTATTTCTAGAATGTGGGCTGCTCGAGGTCAGGGGCGTGTCTGAATCTATTTGATGTCTTCCACAGGGTTTGGCAAATATTTCCCAAATTGATGTTTAAAGGATATGAATAACTAAAGCTTTCTCTGTAGTCCATAGTTATTTTCTAATTGTTGGAATTGGCAAAATCCAACATTTTTTCCTTGAACTTTCTTAAAGTAGGACTAATTCCAAAGCAGATTTTTCTTTCCCTCTGTGGCCTTCATTGGGTCATTTTCTATGCTGACCGTGCATTGAAAACTGTTGGTGGCCTTCCTTTGCCTCAGTGTCACCGTTGACTATAGGAATGGGAGGGGAGAGGGACAGAACACCAGCTCTCTCTGCCAGGTAGTGTTAGGTTCTTAATTATTTTTACCTTATAACTCAGTGTTCTCATTTTGCAGATGTAACCTGAGATCAGAGAGTGTAAGACACCTAAAATAAGTGTCAGAGCTATGCTCTGAACCCAGTTTTGATTCTAAACCTGCTGCTCTTATTGCCTCTTTCAAAGAGGTTGGATATCTTTCTTTATAGGCCAAAGACCCAGAGAGCCTGCTGTAGCCAACTCTAAAGGAAGTTATTAGTTCTTAAAACATCTATATGGTAAGTTGGTCTGGCACTTAAACATTTATTGCATTGTTTACTTCTCCCCACAGATGTGGAGGTTGGTGATAGTATCTTCACTCTATAGATGAGGGGACAGATTGAGCGTTGTTCAAGGATTTTTAGGGTCTGCATAACTCCAGCTTACATGGTTTGGCCACTAGACCTCACTGTCCTCCTAGAATGATGCTGTGGGAGCTGGGGCCAGGACCTAGACTGGTGTTTCCGTGTGGGAATTCCTTCCCAGCATTTCTCAGGAAATAAATTTTTTTTTTTTAAGATCGGCATCTGAGCTAACATCCGTTACCAATCTTTTTGTTTTTTTTCCCTCCTTCTTCTCCCCAGAGACCCCAAGTACACAGTTGTAGATTCTAGTTGTAGGTCCTTCTGGTTCTGCTATGTGGGATGCCACCTCAGCGTGGCTTGATGAGCGGTGCTAGGTCTGTGCCCAGGATCCGAACTGGTGAAACCCTGGGCCACTGAAGCAGAGTGCACGAATTTAACCACTTGGCCACGGGGCCGGCCCCAGGAAATACATGTTTTTTGTATACAGAATCCCCAGAAAAATCGGTTGAAGAAATGAGAAGAGGCATTATAATTATCCATGAATACCAAAGCCTAAAAGCATAGAGAGGTTACTGGCTTGAAGGGACTCACCTTCATCAAATAAAAAGCAAGAGCAAGAAACACTAACACGTGGAGTTGAAGGTTCAGACAACCAGGACAGGAGCATGCAGGAGAGAAATGGGTACCATCTCCTCAGTCTGGCGTGTGATCGCTGCCCTGTCATATGTGTGTGTGTCGGTAGCCCTGTCTGCTGCAAACCGTGAGTTATTCTTGCCAATGCAGTAAGTTTATACACTGCTATAGTATACTTCACACAAATCCTATCAGCAGTATTCCAAGAAATAAGCTTTGGAAGCAAAATAAATTCTCAGTTTGGCAATTTTGACACATGACCCTGTGTACTGTTAACCCTGCTAGGATATGTGAATGTTAGCATTATTTGAATACTATCCAATAAGGTTCCCTGGCATTTTCTAATGTTTAAATATTCCCTATAGGCCACAGTTCTCTGTAACTACTACTGAGCTTAACATGCCTGTTTGTTAGACACACAGTTTTCAAATATCTACAATGGGGAAAGCGCAGGAAGAATGAAGTATTTTAAGAGTAACTTATGATTGAGGGAATTTTTGAGAATGCTAATTTCTTGCTCCTACATTCCAAAGGTAAATATTTGTTGTAAGTTTGTAAACACTAACCTAGACCACAGAGAACCAGGCACTCCAGCCTGGGGAGGACCACAGAACTTGCACTAGAACCCAGGCCTGACACCTTGTGCCATTCACTTTTCATTCCATTCCATTGTTTCAGCTCCAAGAGTACTGCCGCTCCCCCACCCCCATTTGTGGTTTTGTTCCCAGGGCATTTAAAAGGTTGAAGTAGAAAAAAGTAGCAGTCATAATCAAGATTTTTTTTTTAAAGATTGGCACCTGAGTTAACAGCTGTTGCCAGTCTTTTTTTTTTTTTTTCCTTCTTCTCCTAAATCCCCCTCCAGCACATAGTTGTATATTCCACTTGTAGGTCCTTCTGGTTGTGCTACATGGGACGCTGCCTCAGCATGGCCTGACATGTGGCGCCATGTCTGTGCCCAGGATCCGAACCGGCAAGACCTTAGGCTACCGAGGTGGAGTGCGCGAACTTAACCACTCAGTTAATCAAGGTTTTTAAGGGCAGACGTTAACATTCAGGGGGATTACATCTTCTGAAATGGCTTAATTCAGTTGTATCTATGGCCTTCACCTCACTATAGCTTTCTCCTATGCTTTCACATCTCATATTTTCCTCTCTCCGGACTGCCCCAAATTTAGAGTTTATTTACAGTAATAATCCATCACATTTATACGTGAAGGGTTCCCTCTCAACACCTAGCATCTGAAGGGTGAGGAAACTGAAGCAAAGGAAGCTGACTGGGTGGCGCAGGTTTTAACTAGCAGAGCCAGGCCTAGAACTCATTTCAGATCTCTAGAAATGTATGCCTGTGTGCACTGAGTAAAGTTTTATAGTGTCCATATTTAAATATGTTAATAGGGTCAATTTCTAAGTTCATTTCCCATCTTTTAATTCTCTGTGATGCTCAACTAATGTTTTTTGCCCTCGTGGGTCACATACTCACAATAGAAAAAAGGTTCCACATCCTCTGGGCGGTAGGGGTGAGAATACTGCCGAGAGAATGTGGTAGGCAGTGGTAGGAGTGGCATGGTGGCCCGAGAGATGGTGGGGTCCTGCCGTTCCTCCTCAGCCTCCAGGGAAGCAAGACCAGAAGCCAGAGCCAGTTCCTCCTGCTACCCAACAGCTGACAGTTCACTCGGAGGAAGACAGGCAGTTTTTCAAAGGGCGCTTTTAAATTGTAAGTCAGACACATTAATTATAACTTTAATATAACAAATGTTATTAAAAGCAGCAATTCAAAACCATAAATCTTTTTGAAGGTGCACAGGGTTATAAGGTCAGTTGGCAGTAATGCAGCTATTATCTTGTATGAATGAAATGCTGGGGTGTGGAGTCAGGGTGACCTGGCCAGGTCTTATGCCGACTTCCCAAGTGGGGAAGACACCCTTTCCCTCTTTCCCCCTCTTCAAGTCCAGAGCCTTTCTGGAGCCAGAGTTGAGAAGGTACAGATGCACTGTGACAGGCCTTGTTCATCCTGTGCTTTCTAGAAGCCTGGAAAGCAGGCCTGGGAGGTTGCTGTGCTCTCTGAAGCCAGGCAGGAAGCCACAGATTGGATCCCAGGGCCTACACCCATGCTAAGCTGGAGGCTGGCTTCTCAGCTCCTCTTCCACCTGGCCCCAGGAGGAGGCTTTAGTGGCAGCAGCTGTGGGGCTGAGAAGGGGAGGACTGGGCCCAGCTCCAGCTGGTCCTTGCCTGGGCCATGCCAGGGAAGCAGAGGGAAGTGGGTGGGCTGCACACAGGAGATGAGGTCCCATTTGAAAGGCACTGTAGGAGCTGGGGCTTGAGGCAAGGGACATCTGAACTATCTCAGGGCCCCCTGGAGGCTCACAGTGGGGAGGGGTCAGCCTGATAATGGAAAAACCAGCTCCTCAGGCCCGCTGCCACCCCGTCACTGTTCATCCACCTTCGCCTTGCAGCTGGCAGCCTACAAAACTCAGCCAAGCTAGAGGCCACAGCAGCAGTTGGCAAGGCGGGTCCCCATCTGGTGCACCCCCTCACCCCAATTCAAGGCACTTCTTTCTATTTTCCAATCAAGTATGTCAGTTTCTAATATCTCTGGAAGCAGCAAAAATGAGGGGTCCACTCCCCCTCCCATTTTTGGTTTCCCTCCAGATGGGTATGGGTTTAAATGTTGGTTCTAAGAATTATATTTATACTCCCACTGACAAAGGCTTCCCTTTGAGGGGACTGAATGACACAGGCCCCTTAAAAATCCCAACCTGGCCCAAAAAAGTGATTGTCAATATCAGGGTGGGGCAGGGGATAAGGAAGAGGGTATGTCCCCTGTGCTTCCCTATGGGGTCAAAGCTGGTTCACGGGCTGAAAGAAGGGGCAGGAGCTGGACTTTCACATTTAGTTGCAGGACATGGCCCCTGGAAGAGGGCCAAGGGAAAGCCAAGGGCAGGAGCCAGGCTGGCACTGGAAGGAATGTGTGGCTGTGTGTGTGTGTGTGTGTGTACACCTGGAGGCTGGGGGCCACATGTGTGTGCCTGGAAAGTGAAGGCACACATGTGGATGGAAGCTTATATGTGAGTGAGTGTGTATTGTTCAGCTGTGGGTGTGGTGGGTCGGGGGTGGGAGGCCTAGGAAACAGTTTGAGGTTAAGCATGACATGGCTTCCTTCCCTCCCACTTCCTCTCCCGTCCCTCAGGTTTTCAAGGCCCCCTCTAGTCCAGCAAGGCCAGGCTCAGCTCCACGGCAACTAAGAGGGAGTGTGGCCAGGAAAAGGAAAACTTCTGGGACCTCAGAGACTGACAGCAGCCATCACTCTTAGCCTTAATAATTGGGCTCTGGTGCTGGTACCTTCTGAGGCAGAGATGCAGCCTCTTCACTTCTCAGATCCTGAGAGTCCCAGGGTCTCTGCCACACAGGCTTTCACAGGGGCGTTGGTGTTCTCCCACCCTCACCACCTCTTTTTGAGGGCAGGGGGAGTGGCAGGAAGTGGGAGAGAAAAGCACCGCGGGCATCTTCGTATCCACCTTCACCCATTGTCTCTCAGAGGTTCCTGTTCTCAGAGTGTGGTCCCTAGGAGGACAGGCTGCCCATGGGTCTGGTGTGAAGGACATCCAGTGGAGGGACAGCCATGCGCACATAGGGTGTGTAAACACAAACCCAAAAGGGGTGAGGGAGGTAAAGGGACACAGAATTGGGGACAAAGAGATTCAGGCCTCAGGAGAAAGGGTCATAGAGCCGGGGGAACACAAATTCAGAGGAACAGATGAACAGTTGGAGGGAGTGTGGAGTGTGTGGAGACACCGAGAAATAGCCAGCGGACCTTAGAGACACAGGCAAAGGGGTGATGAGCCTGAGACGGCCCGAGAGCAGAGTGGGCACAGCAGAGAGGCGCAGGCCCTGGCCTGGTGGGCAGGCAGGCAGGGCTTTTTGCCAGGCACTGTCCTGCTTCCCTCTCCCACCCCTGCCTGGAGAGAACTGGGGAGCCTGTGGCTTCCACTGTCTCTCCTTTGGTTTCCAGGGCTCCTGGCATCCCCTGAGGGCTCGTCAGTAAGGGGTGGTCCCTTCCCACTCCACCAGGTACTGAACCTTGCCCTCGGGCGTGACCCTCCGAGCCAACACCTGGTACTTCTCCCCACAGGCCAGCCGCCCAGCTGCGCCAAAGTAGTTGGTGATGGATGACTTGAGGTGGGACAAGGAAGAGTCGTCTTCACTGATGCTCTCAAATGTGTGGCTGTCGATGCCTTCGTCTGGCCGCTCAGGGCCTGAAGCCCCCTCTGCACTGCTGTCCGAGGGGCAGCGTCCACCCAGCTCAGCTGCCCGCCGCTTTGCCCGCAGTGGCATGTATGCTTTGGCTGCCAGTTTCCTCTTGCGGCTGCCCACTGTCCGTCTATATCAGGAGGGGAAGAGAAAGATGATGGGCATGAGATGGAATAATCCTAAGATGTCCCTCTCCCTGAGCACTCTCCTGGGCAACAGGCCCTGGGCCCTGGGCATGGACTATCTCTCTGGATCCTCACAACAGCCATGGGGAGGCTCCAGAGAAACCTCCAGCTGCAGAGTGGCAGAGACAGGACTCAAACCTAGGTGTGTCCAGCTCTAGGCACATGTTCCTTATATTGAGACTCTCAGCACTGCACAAGTCCAGGGGCAGCAGTCTCTGTGCCTCCTGAAGTCGCGCAGTGCAGAGGCCCTGCTTATCCCAGCTTGTCCCTCACCTGGGACTCATTTGTATCTAGGTGAGTCAAATGGGGGTAGGATGGAGGTTACAGACTGAAGTACCTTTACCCCATAGCCTGGATTGGGGACAAACATGCGTGTGTGCATGTGCACCACACACGAACAGAAAGAGGCAGAGGTGGTAGAGAAAAACACACACACAAGAAGAGGTACACATTCACAGATGCTTAGAAACAAACCAAGACCTGAAGAGCTAGAGAGAACAAAGAAACAGGAAGAAATAAATGAAAATACAGAGGCAACAGGAGAGAAAGACACTGAGATGTTTGGAGACAGAGAAAGATTCCCAAGACACACTTCTATGGGCATTATACTTTTAATTCTATTTTTGCAAGGGCCTCAGATATCCTAAAATACACAGTTAAAGGACCCTCAGAGTTCAGAAGAATTCATGGATGTGCTTTGCAGTTTCACCCTCCCTCTGCTGCTGAAGACGAACTGTTGCCAATCAGGCTGTACCCTGAGCTAGGCCCCAGGGTTTTCCGTTCCCTCTCCCAGACCCTATGCCCTGCAGGATGCCATTTTCCCTCCATCAGGCTTCCAAATCAATGGTTCGTTTTTTTAGAGACCTGGAAGATTGACACTAGATTCAGACAGGCAAGAACCAGGGCCAGGGGGCCCTGCAGTCAGAGGCACAGACATGCAAAATCATGGTGTGCAGAGGCCAGGACCCCAGAACGAGAGAACTTCTGGTCAAACCTCCCCAGAACTGGAATTACCCAGTGAGAAGTGTCCCACCACCTGTGCAGCAGGTGAAGAGGAGTGACCTGAATGTTCATACTCAGCCCCTCTCTGAACCCCCATGACTCAGAACCAGAGCGTCCCGGACCCAGACTTAGAACTGCAGAAGACCAGGTCCCTCAGCCAGAGACTCACATGCACAGAATGAACGACATGTCACAGAAGTGGAAGGTGGAGGGGCTGGGGGGGATGAGGGAACTTGAGTCACACTGCCAGGAAGCTTACCTGGAGTCATAGGAGAGGCTGGTGGAAGCGGAGCCAGAGGTGCTGGCGGCATCAGTGGAGTCCACATCTGAGAAGAATGTCTGGCCTGAGCTGGCACTGAGAGGGAGGAGTGGGTGAGCCTGCTGTTGGCCTCGGCACCCCTTGAGACCTTCCCGGTTGTATCTCAGCCCCTTGGTCATGCATCCTTCGTCCCAGCAGAGGCCCGCGTTCCCATTGCGGAGCTTCCTGCCACCACCCCTCAGCTGCTGCCTCCTCTCTGCCTGTCCGTTTTCTACTCATCCAGCCTTCAAAGTCCAAGGAGTCAAGAAAGCCTGCCCTGACCACCCTCCCCCGTGGCGATATAAGCACTGGTGACAGTAATTAAAGATAATTAATGAGCAAGATCCCAGACACTTGTGCAATGCGTACAGGCCCAAAATGCTTTCATTTACAGTATCTTGTTTGAGTCTCCTAGCAACCATGCAGAAACAGGTGAGGAGGGTCAGAGAGATTGAAGAATTGAGCTAAAGTTACACAGCTGGTAACCAGGAAGTAGGGGCTGGACCCCAGGTCTGTCTGAAGCCCTTGCTGCCTCCATGGCTCCAGGAAAGCAAGCATTAAAGGACCTTTCATAATTGTGGAAATAAAACGATGGAATACACAGTCCTTCCCTTGGGCGTATCAAGCGTGATAGGCGGTGGGACTACACAGGAAGCATCCAGCACAGCCTGGGGAGGATGAGTGAAGGCTTCCTGGAGGGATGTGAATGTGGGATGATCACAGGCATTTTGGTACCAGGAGTGAGGCAGGGAGAAGCTGGAGAGGTAGGGAGGGCCCCGGCAAGGCGGGCCTTGAATGCTGCTCTGGGGAGCTGTCCTTGGGAGCCCTGGAGACTACAGCAGGGGGATGTTTTGCTGAGAGTTCTGCAAAGACCTTTTAGGCAGCTTACGCAATATGGGCTCTTTTAACTGGGATAACCCCCAGGGAGCTCCCACTCCCTCAAAAGGCTTTCTGCTTCCCCCCTCCAGAGCCTGCCTTCACTGCTGGGGAATGAGGTGATCTTCCCCGCCTGATTCCATCCTAGTCTTCAGAGAGACCTCTCTGCTGGGACCCTCACTGTTACCTTTTTAAACTCTGAATTTCATCCAGCGTGAAATCAAATATGCTGGCCAGGTGGTGGTTGGTGCTCCAGGCCGAGGTAAAGTCGCTCTGTGGACACAGAGGAAGGAGGGTGGAGGGTTGGTCAGTGAGCATCAAATCCTCCTCCCACAAACGCCCTTCTCCCCGCTGAGGACCACCCAGGCTGCCCGCTGGTCGAGCCAGGGCTTCTGAGGGCTGGACCCTCCCAAGGGTAAGACTTGCCACTTCCTCTTTATTCCCAGTCCTGACCGAGAGGCCAGGTCACACTGGTTCTAGTCCTGGCTCTGTTTCTACCTGACTGTATGACCTTCCCATCTTTGGGCCTGTCAGCTCAACTGCAAAATGTGAACAAACCCCTGGCTGCGCTTCACTCTTAGAGGTGTCAGGAAGCACAACAGGATGAAGTGGTGGTGGTAAAAGGGCCTCGTAAACTGTGAAGTGCTGCGGAGATGTGAGGCGCTGCTAATACTGCTGCCCACAGGGAGGGCTTCAGTGAGGATGCACGGCTACTGAAGAAGGGGAGAGATGGGGAGCCCTGGTCCTAGGCTGGGCTCTGCCACTGCCCCTCCCTGGCCCTCAGTTTCCCCACCTGGACACTGGGGGCAAGCATATTGCATACCCTTGCCCCCTGCTTTGGGTTCTTGGGAGAACGTGGGGGATAAGGGAGTGGTCTTGCAGTGCCTGGCTTTTCCTTGTTTAGCTGTAATAGGAACTGGCTTCTCCTTTAAGGGACATGGGAGAGTCCCCTGGGCCTTGGGGGACTTAGTTTTCTGCACAGGAATCCCTATTATGTGCTGACCCTGCATGTGAAAGTGGAGAGTAAGAAAACAAGAAACTAACACTGGGAATAGCATCTTCCAGCAAAAACTTTGATCTTTTTCTTCTATAAACTCGCCTTTTCTGCTGCTGGAATTCGTGAGGCAACAAACTGTGGAGACAGAAAAGGGAGAGGATGGCCCAGTCAGAGCCTGAAGGCCCAGAGGTGGCCCAGAGGGACGAGAGGCAGGGCTGGGGTCACAGCAGTAGGAGACCTGGGGAGGAGGTGGGGGTCCTCTGGGGCAGTAGGTGCAGAGGGTGTGGAGGAGGGTATCGGGGCAGAAAAGCGAGAAGGTGCCTCTCCAGACACATGCATCCAGATGCTCTGCCTCCCAATGCCCAGGATGAGGGGGCTCAGCTCAGCCAGGAGAGCTAGGGACCCCTTAAACTCTGACTTCCCCTTCACCTCTCTGCCTAAGCCCTCATCTGGCAAGACTGGGTCCCATGATTTGGCTTTCCCTCCAAGCAAGGTGATAAGGGGCTATGGTGGAAGGAGTCAGGGATGTGGGATAAAGTCCTGGCTCAGCCATTGACTGGCCCTTTCAGGGTGCCTCCAGCTGTGACTAGCTGGGTATCAGTCCTGCTTGCTCACTTGGATGCCACCGTAGTCTCTAGGCCCACTGCACAGCCTGTCGGCTGGAGCTGGGAGCAGAGAACCCGAGGTCGGCTGCAGCCCTAGCCCCTGGGTCCCCAGGCACTGACCCAGGCTTGCTCTTTCCTTTCTTACGCAGCTCAGAGGAGGCGCCGTTCTCAGTGGGCACCAGGCCCTTGTCAGGCAGCAGCTTCCCTGGAGGGTTGGGCGGGACGCGGATGCGCAGGCGGAAGATACACTTCTTCTTCTTGATCTCCTTGCCACAGAGGAACCTGGGGGATACCAGGGGGAGGAGAAAGCTCTGGAGTCTGTTGGTCCATCCTCCTGGGGAGGAGAGTCAAGTGTTATAACTACCCTCTCAGCCTCCCTGGACCCAGAGTGGCCCATGGAGATGCTGATTCCTCAAAGCCTGTGGGATCAGGGGTCCCAGGTGGTGGCTGAGAATGTGGCTGGTGGCTCCTCCCTGTCCTTCCTCATGCATGTGTAGTTCTTGCTGCTCCTCTTCCTTTTCTTCTCTGCCTCAACCAGCCCCCAAACCCACCTCCTATAGGAAGGCCTTCTCCAGCTCCCAGTGAACCCCTGTGGTGAGACACTGGATTCTACACCATTCTGTTCTCTGGTCTACCCAAGAAGCTAGAAGCACCTCCAGGCACTTCCCTCATCCTTCCAACATTAGCTGAGCTGCCATGAGGCTGCAGAAGTGACTCAGTCACAGCCCTACCCTCAGGATACTGTACAGGGGATGGCAAGAGGCCCCATGTACTCAAGAGTAGGGCTGTTTCTGGGTCCCAGACCATGAAACATGGACAAGAGAGTGGATACTCCTGTCTAGAGATGTCTGGAGAGATTTCACAGAAGCAGGGACCATGTCTTAGTCCTCACTGTGTCCTCAACACCTACACAGGGCTGACACAGAGCAGCAATTCAGTAAATAGTCGTTGATGGAACCAATGCCTGAAAGGGATTGAAGAGCATCCTAGGCAAAGCGAAGAGCATGAGCAGAAGTGCTGAGTGGGAGGGCAAAGGGTTCAGTACTGCTGACAGCCAGGGTGCATCAGGCAAAGGGCAGTGGCAGAAGGCATGGGCTGCGTCTGATCATAAGAGGCCTAGGGAGCCTGGGCATTCCCTGTGGTACTAGCAAGGGATATGTCAGCTGTGTGTTCTGAGAGAACCTCAGAAGTCTTGGTGGGAAGACATGGGTTGGGGACAAGTTAGAAGGCTGCGGTCCCTCAGTGCCTGTCCCAGAACCAGCATGAGGAGCCCTCAGAGATCAAGGGTGCAGCCTCCTGTGGAGCTGAGTCCATACCAAAATGTGTCAGGCCACTGGAGTGATCAGGGGAGGCATCGCAAAGGAGGTGGAGACCTCCCTGGATGTTGAAGGATGGGTGGGATTTATCTAGTCAAAGAGAAGGGCAGGGAGACCCAGGCGAGAGCACAGCTTGAGCAAAGGCTATGAGGTAGGAGGATGCTTTAAACTGAAATCCCACCTGTCAGGGGCCCCAGGGCACTCCCCCACTTCCCTGCACGCACCGGCTTTTGTAACTGTTCAGAGCGTTGAGGAGATGTGGTCCTCGGTCCGTCACGGGGGTGCTGGTGAGCTAAAGGGGAGCAGGCCAGCAAGACAGTCACACCCGGGCATGTGGCGTCTGAGGAGGCCTCAGGCCCTGTCCCTTCCCTCCCCAGTCTCCTGATGCTTCCGAGTCCTCCAGGTGAGGACCCCTGACTGATTCCATGATCTCAGACCAGTCTTTTCACCTCTCTGAGCTCACTTCCCCATCTGTAAATAGGGAGAATAACTCCTGTCCTAAATGTCATAAGAGCTTTAAAGACGTCCATGCCTTTCACCCAGGAATGCTAGCCTGTGGAATCTATCCTACAGACGTCATATGAAACATGAACAAAGCTTCATGTACAAAAATGTCTGCTGCAGCACTGTTCCTAATGATGGGCAAAGACAAAAAATGGGAAAGAAGCTACACGCCCAACAGGGAGGAAATGAGTGAGTGAGCTCTGGGGGAAACCAACACAGCCATTAGCAATGTGGATGAAAACTTTCCTAACATGGAAGAGTATTTATGATATGATGTAAACTGGAAAATGGATGATTTAAAGTTGTATATACTGTATAATCTAGGCCATGTAAAAAGAAAAAGTGGACGTAGAAAAGAGGATGGCAGGATACGCACCTAGGCATTTATAGCAGTTGTTTCTGGGCGGTGTCACGTGGGAGTATGGATGACTTTTTTTAAGTATACTTCCTTATACTTTTTGGTACTTTAAAAATTTTCTACCAAGAACATGTATCATTTTTTTATAAATCAGAAAGATTATTTAAAAAAAAATACCACCTCTGCCTATCTTTTAGGGCTTTATAATATGTATGTCTTTTATAAATTATTAAACACTGTAAATGAAAATATTATTATATCAGAAACTTTTGCCAAGCATAAGGGTTACCTTTTTTTTTTTCTTTTTTAAATTCCTGTCTCGTCATAGAGGGATTTGGGGCAGTCAGTGGAGAAGACGCCTCCCTCTGGGTGTGGTGGAGAGGACTCTAAGGGTGTCATTAGGGAAAAGGGGTCATAGCCATACTGTGGAAGTGGTGGGGGAGGCCCTGGCTCCAGTCCCAGCTCAGCTCCAAAGCTGTGCTGACCACTGGCAAGTCACCCTTCTCCTCTGACATCCTGAATGTCTCTGGTTTGTTACTTCACTCCGTGGATCCCAGGCTCCCAGGCCCCCAGGTGACCACTTCTGCTGTTCAGAGTAGGACCAGCAGGGGGCAGGCCCACTTCACTTTCCATTCTAGCCAGGTAATCTGGAGTGGGTCAAACGTCTCTGTAGAGAGCCCAGCTCCTACCAGATTCGACCTCAGCAACCAGCAGCTGAGTTGGTGAGGCCCTAACCCGCCCACTGCCAAAACCTGGGTCAGGAAGCCCCTTGGAGGGCACAGGCTCAGAGACCTGGACTCAGGCTCTGGGTCTTTGTTCCAGCCAGCAGCCCTCCGAGACAGGCAGGGTTGCTGAAGAGTAAGCACTCAAGACCTAGTTCCTACTCTTGGCTGTGTGACACTGGGCAAACTCCCCCCCTCTCTGGACCTCGGTAACCCCACTGTGGAATGGACTCCTGCCATTCGGATGTCCCAGTGGTACTGCATACCTTGCCAAGCTGCAGGAGCTCCCAGTGGTGGTTGACAAAGGCCAGAATCTCCTCAAAGTCAAAGTACTTCTTCTTGCTCTGCACTCCCAGGTTGTAGAGGGCCAGGTGAACCACGTCCACCCTGGGCAAGGGGGCGGGGAGGTGGGGCTGAGGTGAGGCGGCAGCCTGCTCAGCCAGGGCTGGAGCCTCCTGGGTCAGGGCTGAAGGGCAGGGGCAAGGCTGGGACCTAGTGGCTGGAAATGGAATTGGTCCCAAAGGGAGGGGTAAGAGGAGGGTTGGAGAGAGGACAGGGGTGGGCCTGGGCAGAGCCCCACCCTCTCACCATCGCAGGGGCAGCCTCTCGATGTACTCTGGGCCCTGGTTACACACGGAGCAGAAGAACAGGTAGAACCTGTGGGTGGATGGAGAGGGGGCCTGTGGTGGAAAGGGCTCCGACACCTCACCCTAGTCCAGCCCCTCTCTCCCCACTCAGTCAGCGTTGTTCTCATTCCTAGGACTCGTGGTCTCTGGGGGGTAAGGACATGACAGGACAGGGACCAAGAAATACTCCCCTACTCCTCTAACCCCTACCTCAGCCTCCTTCCCAAATGTCATTGCCCTGGAGCGTGGCTGAGATCAAAGAGAGTGAGCTGAGCTAGGCTGAGCTGCAGTGGTCACCCACTTCCCTCTGAGACACACACTCACAAATGACATGCGGCACAAACTCAGAGACACATAATATCTGGTGTGACACACAGAAGCCTTCCATTAGCTCAGCCCCATTGGTTAGAAGCCACATCAAGTCATCCATTTCCCCAGTGGCTCCCACAACAACCCTAGGCAGGGATGGGGCAGGGCCTATGTCACTCCCCCTTCCCCAGACATTTAAAGAGACCGGGGCTTAGGGAAGGTAGGGCTTTGTTTAAGGTCCCCCACAAGTCAGTGGCAACTGGGGATGTGGTCCAGAATGTTCTGCTACTGGGAAGGCCTCCCCTACCCTGAGCTGCCTACCGTAGACAGGTACACACCATCATAGACCCCCACTTGTCTAGGGCCTGGCAGGCAATCTGAAGGAGTTGCTGCTGCTGTCCCCTCTTCCCCCCACCTCGTCCTCCGGGCTGAGCTGGACCAGATTAGCACCTACCGGTCTCCAAACATCATGGGCTCATTGAGGCACTGGGTGCAGGCCTCGTGGAACCACTGCCTGCACCGGTAACATTGCAGCATCCGCAGGTACCATCTGGAGAGCCAGAGGAGCCAGGGTCAACCAGGCATGAGCATCAGCAACCTTTCCCAGCACAAACTCGCCCTCCCCCAGGGGGAAGGGAAGAGAACTCACAGTTACTGAGCACTTAGGCTGTGCCAGGGGAGGTCCTGGGAGCAGGGCATATGTTCTCTCATTTGATCTCACCATCTGGTATAAGGCAGGCCACTGCCCCCGTTTTACAGCTGAGTCAGAGGTTAAAATGCCTTGCTCAAGGTCACTCAGGAAGCAAGTGGATGGTGATTCAAACCCTGCCTTCCTCACTTCAAAGCCTGTGCTCTTGGGCCATGCCCCACTGGAGCCCCCATCTCTGGACTGCACCCCACATACTGCTCCCAAACACCACTGACAGAGAAAGGTTTGCCCGGAGACCTCCTGGGAGGATAACGGCTCCTGCAGGCTCCATGGGCAGCACTACATCTGGTTTTCATCACTCGGGACCCTGTCTACTCTATCAGGGGCATTCAACAACTATCCACTGAGTATGAATGAAGAGCAAAAACTATTATTTCCTTAATAACAGTCAGGTGTGGTCCATGGACCACCTGCATCAGAATCACCTGGGGGGAGTCTAGGTTAAAATCCAGATTCCCTGGCCCACTCTAGACCAACTCAATCTTTGGGGGAGCCCCTGGGAGATGCATTTTTAACAATCACCCGGGGCACCTCCGCTCAGGAAGCATTGAGAACTACTGCCTTAATGCTGTAAGATCTTTATAAGCACCTCTTCATCTGTTATCCCATAGGCTTCCCAACACCCAGGGGAAGTTGATGGGGCTGAGGTTATTAATCCCACGAGAGATGAAGTAATGCAAGCAATTTGTCTGAATTACCCAGCTAGGCTATAAGCACAGCTTCCTGACCCCTCGTGCTTGTCAAGAGAGCTTGGGGCTGAGCTTCAGGACTCCGGGGGCGCCTCAAGGCTGAGTTTCCTGAGGACAGACATCCCCATCTCTAACTTCTGTGGTTCCTCCCACAATGTGTGGCGCAGTCAGCCCAAAGGAGCAGGCTCAATCGCCATGGCTCGAGGCCAGCAGGGAAGGAAAAAATCAAAGACTCCTGCCCTAGAGCCAGGGCAAGAATCCCGGTCACAGCATCCCCGCATCTGACCTGCAGCCCCTGCCTGCACACCTCCAGGGAAAAGATCTCACCAGTAGCCTGTTTCATTGGCTCTGACAACAGGGAGGTTTATCTTAACTTTGTGCGCCACCAGTAACAGCTCACACTTATTAACAAGTACCAGGCACTGTGTGAACCTGTATGTGAATTATCTTAATCAGGCTCTGCTCACAACCACCCTATAACGGGAGAACTATTATGAGACCTGAGACTCAGGGGCGGCACAGCTGTTAAGGGGTTCGGAAGAGCTGGACACCGGGGCCAAGCTCTCTAACCGCTCAACACTTCCTTCTTTTCCACGGGGCCCCCTGCCGCAGAGCGCTAGACTCGCCATCTCGAGCCCCGCCCTCGGGCTCATCGCCGCGGCCCAAATATTTGGGCTCTCCACTTGAGGTTCCTCTCCCTCAGGCCCCACGCCACAGCCTTACCTTCAGGTCCGCCCCCGTTGGGCCCACCCGCCTGCCCCGGCGCCCAGACCTGCCCCGCCCCCTTGGGGCCCCGCCCCGCGGCCTTACTCTCCAGGGCCGCCGCAGTAGCAGTAGCATTGCTGCTGGTTGGTGCGGTGGGGCGAGTCCCACTCGAGCTCCTCGGGCTGGTAGGACAGCACCATCTTCACAGCCTGCAGCGTCCTGGCGATGGCGCCCTTCTTCAACGCGCCGCCTTTCTGCGGGAAGATGAGGGCACGAGTCACGCGGGGGCAGGGGGGTGCGGGGCGGCCGGGCCACAGGTGTCAGCACAGGACTATTGAGGAAAATGCCGACCAGGGGAACCCGCAGATATTCCAGTGTAGTCAGAAACAAGGAGCTTTTTGTCATCAATCCCAGATCCATCCTCTCTATCCCAGAAGGATCTCCATTAGTAATAGTATTAATAGTAATAAGCGCAACAATAACCAATATGTATCGAGTGTGGGCGCTTACATGTATTCTCTTATAATAGCAAAGCACCATTTATTGGGGGCCTCCTATTCCTGATGCCAAACTCGTTTCCGTTTGACAGCTGAGGAAACAGGCTCAGGGAGGCTAAGGAACCTGGCCAAGGACACACAGCTGGTAAGTGGCAGCAACCCTGTCTGCCTCCAAAGCCCAGGCTCTGTGACAGGGAGTCAGGCCTGAGTCCAGGGAGTCTCTGGCCTTCTGGATTGGAGGAGGGGGGAGAGACAGGGACTGGAAGGATGGAGGGCTCACCCGCACAGCCAGCGCGAAGATGCATCGTCGGCAGAACCAAGGTGTGAGCAGGGGCCGGTCGGCACTGCCTGCTATGGGGATGTGGCACTGCTGATGGTAACCTATGGCAGAGGAGGGGTGGTGAGTGCCCATGAGGAAGCAGTGGCCGAAGGCCAGTCAGCCCAAAGGCGGCAGGGAGTCGTGTGCCTGCCAGCTGCCAAGGACTGGCTGGCGATGCTCACCAAGGCAGCCAAGTTGATATCCAAGCAGGCGACTCAAAGACAGCCTGGGCTCCAGTGGGGGAGGCACAGGTCTGGCTTCAGCCTTTGTGCCCCCTCTCTCCCAGCCATCCTCTCCACCCAGGGGGGCTCCAAAGTGCAGAACTTGTCTCACTTTCCAGAAGCCCCAGCTCTCCCCAAGGGTCACCTCCGTGGGCCCTCATTCCCAGAGACTGGCCCACTGTTACTCTGGAGCTCCAAGAGAAACAGGAAGCCAGCTGAGGCCCCAAGGGTCTGAGGCAGTGCCCGGCGGGGGCCAGCGTGGGGATGAGGACCCACAGGTCGGGGCCTTCTCAGGGCTGCTCATCTCACTCACCCAGGCCACATTTCCCACAGATGAGGATCTCATTCAGTGGCCCCGATGTCTTCCCCAGGCAGATGTTGCACTTGGGCTCCTCCCCTGGAACACCAGCTGAAAGAGGGAGAGAGGCCCTCTAGGGTCAGGTCAGGTCCCAGGAATCAGAAGAGTTTGAAATCACATTCCAGGTGCTGGGCCTAGCACTCGGCCCCATATGCCAACTCATTAAACCTCCCCCACCACGCCGGGGTGCCTATGGTCATACCCCATTCTGAAGACGGGGAGATCGAGGCTCAGAGAGGTTAAGTCCCTTGCACAGCTAGTAAGTAGGAGAGGTGGGATTCAAACCCATAGCTGTTTGACATCAAATCCTTTGTTCTTTTGGCCGTGTCATGCTGCCTCTCCTGCCTGATTTAACTTGATTTGTTAAACAGTTTTTTATGTTAAATAATTTTTTTTTTTAAAGATTTTATTTTTTTCCTTTTTCTCCCCAAAGCCCCCCGGTACATAGTTGTATATTCTTTGTTGTGGGTCCTTCTAGCTGTGGCATGTAGGACGCCGCCTCAGCGTGGTCTGATGAGCAGCGCCATGTCCGCGCCCAGGATTCGAACCAACGAAACACTGGGCCGCCTGCAGCGGAGCGCACAAACTTAACCACTTGGCCACGGGGCAAGCCCCTATGTTAAATAATTTTTTAAAACTTTATTTGGGGATAATAATAGCCAGAATGTTATAATGAAACTCCATGTTCTCACCAACAGTTACAAAGTCATGGCCAATCTTGTTTTGAATATATTCCCCCCATTTCCCCTCCTGTATTATTTTGAATCAAGTCCTAGATACTCATTTTCCATAAATATTTCAGTATGTATCTCTGAAAGATTAGGACTCTCTCTTTTTTTAAAACATAAGATAGAGCCTTTACTGCACCTAAAAATTAAGAATAATTTCTTAATTTCAACAAATTCAGTTAGTGTTCACATTTCTAATTGTCTCAAATAAAAATGTCATAACAATGTTAAGTCTGTTCAATAGCTTTTAAACTACAGCTTTCCTATCCATCTCCTTCTTTCTTTGCATTTTTTGGGGGTTGAAAAATAAATATGGACTTATATGTGAAAGGTTTCAGTGAATAAATTAAATACATTTTAATGTGTGTTTCTGTCTAATGTCCCCCAGCAGACTGAAAGTTCTGTAAAAGGCAGAAATGGTATCTGTTCATCCATGTGTCCCCGGGACCTCAAGAGTGTGGTACATAACACGTGTTCAAGATGTGTTTGTTGAGTAAATGGTCTCCTGCCTCTTATTCTTGAATACGCCCCAGAAGGGGGTGCCCACCATGGGTCTCAGTAAGTCCTCATTGGCTTAACGGAGCAATGGATCAATGACTACAGCGGGCTCAGCCTTGAACTCTCATCCTGGGAGACACCGGAAGGGCTGCTGTCCTGCCCAGGGGCAGCAGTTATCCGGCTGGGGAGCCACACCGTTCCCCACATGAGCACAGCAACACCTCAATGTGCCTGCTGCGCAACAGCCTTCCAATGAAGGTCTTCTCACCAGCTGGCTCCCTCTGCTTTCAATACGAGGGTAACCCAGGAGAGGAGACCCTCACTGCTTTGGATCTTTACATAATACATTTAGGGTGAGAAGGGCTTGGAGAAAAGTCAGTCTGCATCAGCCACAGCATCTTGCAGAAAGGGGCAGTTCAGAAGCTCCACTAACTGGTGGCCTTCTGTGCCGCTATTTGGCAGGCCCCCTTGAAATCCTCTCTTATGGTAACAAATTCTTTAGAAACTGCCCCTCTGTAACTCAGTAGCACTAAGCTGGGCACTTTACATGGATTATCTCATTTAACCACACGGTGAGGCCAGTACTTTCATTATCTCCCTTTTTCAGATGAAGAGACTGAAGCTCAGAGAGGTTACATCACTTGCCCAAGGATCTAGAATATGATCCAAGGGCTATCTGACCCTACAAGCTGCCTCTTCTTCCCGTACCACCATGTCTGTTCTCGTGTTAGAGCATAAAGGGCAAACAGGTTTCTTCTCTCATGGCAACTCTGACTGACCGGCGGTGGCTGCTTGGAGCTCCACATTCAAGTACAGCAGTGTTGAGAATGACACACATCATTATATATACCAGATACATGACTGATTAGTGATGTCTGCCATGTCCATGGGAAAGGAGAATGGTGGCAAGAATGCCCCCGATTTGCCATCTCTGTAAGACAGTGTCAGCTCTCTGAGGGCAGGGAGGGGACCCAACCCAGCTCCCTTTCAACTTGGGAAGCTGGTCCAGCTCCATCCAGGCATGTCCATCTTCACCCTGCCTGGTCCATCTCTGCTTTCTTGGTCTTTCCCCAAAGGATAGAGCTGCCTCTACTAGTTTTCTTCACGTGTTGATAGGGGACACTGTGCTCACATCTAGAGGTGACAAATCTGATTACCTGGGCCCCTCCCTGTTTCTACCTCAGACTGACTCACAACTTTGTGCAGCAGGAGAAGTCCAGAAGGAAGCAAACACAGGCCTGAGACCTATCCCAGCCATCCCGGCCCCTCCCTGAGCCACTCTCTCCATCTACCTGCCTCCCTCATGAGGTATGAGTACTCAAGGGGATGGCGGATGTCGTAAGTGCCTTTCCATGTAAATGCACCACTGGTAGTTTGATCATCTCAGGTGGCCATGGACAAGGCCAGATGCCAGGGGTATGAGACAGAAGGAGAGAAGGACAAAATGGAGGTGGAGGAGGAGAGAGAAGTGGGGTGGGCCAGGGGCGCATGAAATCTTCAGAATACTCACCATGCTGTATGTCCTTCCACAGGACCCAGTATTTGGAATTATCTTCAAAAGTCACAAGGCAGCTCTGCTTAGAACTGCTGACCTGGGGCAAGGAGAGGGAGGAGCAAGGTGAGAAAGTAGCAGGGGAAAAGCCACTGGAACACGGTCTTCCTCTCCCACTTTTGTTCCTGCAGGACAGAGGGACTAGACCCACTCCTTGTGCTCCAGAAAGGAGCTAGGCTACAAGGGCAAGGAGGATGTCAGTTCCTGGAAGGAGTGTGTGCCCAGTCACTGGAGTTGGACAGTCTGGGACCGGGGGACAGAACAGGCCAGATGATCATCCGTGAGCCTCTCCAACCTGATTTTGTCTTTTTTGTAGGCTGGCAGAACACTTTTCTAAAGAACTGGTTGGGTGATGTTGGTCCTAAAGATGGTGCCTGCAAAAGCAGACTCCAGGTCCTTCCACTGTCAGCTTTTGAGCATGAGGGACAAGAAGGGAATTTCCCAGCAATCCCACATCCTCCATCACCAATCTGAGCCCTAGGCCAGAGGATGAGCAGAGAGATGCTGAGCCTGGGAACTGGGGCCAGGGAGGAAAGGCTTACCCTCTTGATCTTCCCGAGGTAATACAGTCCATCTGTCCACCGGCACAGCACATACTGGCCCTCCGTCAGCTTGGACATCAGGTCTTTGAAGTTGTTCTTGGCTTTTGCCAGGACCCCCTTGTTGGGGAGGTGGCTGGTGGCACCATAGGAGTCCCGAGTCCCTGGGTCCAGAGCTCGATTCTCCATCAGCTTCCACTGACACTGGAAGAGAAAGAACAGAGTTTTTACTCCTTGCTTCCGGCTTCAGAAGTCCATCAGGAGAAGGAAGGAGACTACCATTCATGTAACCCATGCTATCTGCTGGACACTTACACCTTCTCATCGGATCCTTGTGACAGCCCTGCAAGGAAGACATTATTTTTCCCATTCTACAGGTAGGGAAACAGGTTTGGCAAGGGGAAGTGGCTAGTGGGTCAGAGGCAGAGCCATGGTTCATAATCAGGTGAGCTGATTCTAAATCCTGCCTCTCTTCCCACCCATACTATGCTGTCTCCTAAGGAAAACGCATCTCTCAACCAACCGCAAAGCAAAGTCACCCTGCCCAGGGGGCCTGAACCACACTCTCTGGCTGGGGAGCCTGAGGCTTTATCCCATAAGCAAACATACTCCATGTTGTCTGAGTGGAGGGCCTTCTCCAGGGGAGCAGCGTGAAGTCTTTATCCCCTACCCCTGCCCTGAGAGCTGGCCAGGGAAAATTCACGCAGAAAGGTAAACTCCTGGGTGGCTTGTGAACTGGTATAGCCTTGGCCATCCGTGTCTTCAGTAATCCCCTTTTCTGTTCTCAATAATGGGGTGATTTAATGGAAACCAATTCTGGGACATTTAAACTCACTTAGGCTTTTGCTCAGATGCAAATTTGCTCCAAGCAGTTAAATCATCCCCATGCCACCCTCTCCACGCCTGTCTCTCCATCCCAGAAAACGTGCTGCTCCCCCATCGCTTTCTCTTTTCCTGCTAATGGTACGACTCTGGTCCCCAGAACCCCCAAGCATCTTAGATTTCTCCAACCAATGAGTTGCTACAGTCGGCCAACTTCAAGCACACTGCCTTTTGGCATTGGCCCCTCTCTTCCGCTCTCTGTCCTGGTCTGAGTTCAGGCCTCTCTTTGCCTAGGCCATTCATTCATTCATTCAATAACTGTTTCCTGGGCCTTGTGCTCACCCATGCTGGGCACCTGGGATGTGGAATAGCACCACCAGAGCTCAGTGCTAAACAGGCCGCTCCCTGCTCTCCCTGCTAGACTCTTTCACCAATTCCCACCATCTTATTCTCCCTTCCAGAAACCTGAGGCTCCCCAGTGCCTTCACAGGCATTCCAAGCCTTCCCCAAGGCCTCCACTTCTCCTCTCTGGGCTCACCTGGCTCCATGCCCCTCCACACACTCTCCACTAAGCCAAACACAGCCCTTTCTGTTCCCTGTACCCGCTACTCTGGTCCCCCCTGCTGTCTGCCATGGTGCTGGGCACCTGGTGTTATGATGATCCGCAGACAGGGAGAGAATCCTGTGTGTTTCTCCCTGTGAGTGGTGTGTACTCCTGTGAGATTGTTTGACGATGTCTACAGCAGCATGTCAGCGAGTATAGAAAACTAAATACATGTGTGTGCATGTCAGGGGCCCTGGGGCGGGCAGGGCACTGCTGGGGTCTTGGTTCCCCAGGAGGTGGCGCGGCCACGTCCCCCTCCACCCCCACGCCCCTCTTCCTCTCTTTTCCCCAGGGCAAAGCGCACAGGCGTTGGGGAGGTAGGCAGTCCGAATCCCTGCCTTCTCCCTGCCACCTGGCTCCCGGGCGCTGCGAGGTCCCCGCCCGCCGGGCCTGGGGCCCAGGCCGCGGCAGGTTCACAAACTGACACTTCCTCCCCCGCCGCGCCGTTGGGAGCGGGCCCGGTCGCCGCGCCCCCCTGGCCGGGCGGGGGCCCCGGGTGGCGGCCCCCCAACCCGCGCCTCCATCCTCCCGGAGCGGGCCCCGGCGGGCTGTGATTGGCTGATTCAAACCCATCTGCAAAGAAATGCCTGTTTGCGGGTTCCCGTCGGCGTCCAGTTCAAATCCGCGGCACCCGGAGCGCGGGGCCGGGCGGGGGCAGGAAGCAAGGATGATTCATGCGCCGGGGCCTCTCCCAGGGCGGCCGTTGGCTTTTTAAAAAGGGTGTTCAGGAGGGAAAAAAAAGCTTGCAGCAGAACCCCCTTCGGGTTCAAGTGCTCCTCTCTTCAGTCGCTCCGACGCCAAGCCTCCCCCATCCCACTCCTGCCGCAGCCTGACTTCGGACGTGAGCAAAATCCCAAACGCCCCCGTCGGTCTCCACCCCCCACCCCCCGCCGCCCCCCAGCCCTCGAACAGAAAAAGTAAAGATTTGGGACAAGGGAATAGCGACCTGTCACCCACGGCCCCCAAAGGCTCGGGGACCCGGGCGGGGCTCCCGCCGCCCCGCGGACCCCGTTCACCCCCGTACATCCCCCACGCGCGCGACTCCCCAGGACTCCAACCCCCCCGCCCCCCGGAGGCGTTCGACCCGCCAAAGTTCAGGGAGATTCCGAAAAGACCGATGCGTACAGGGAGAGAAGAGTGTGGCGGGGAGTCCCCCAGCCAGGACGGGCAGCCTGCAGCGCTGAACTTACCGCGCGGCTGCGTGTCCGCCGGTCCCACTTGGAGTCTGGCCACCAGGCGCATCGGCGGCGGAGGCGGCTGCGCTCGGCCCGCGGCTGCCCGGCCGAGTGTCCGCCCGTGGGGCCGGGGTCGGGGTCTCGGCGGGGGCGGGGCGGGGCGGGGGCGCCGCGGGGAGGAGGGGGGGAGGAGGAGGAGGGAGGGGCCGGGGCGCTCAGGAAGGGGCCCCCCGGGCGCGGGGCGCCATCTTTTTCGCGTTTTCCCGCGAATTATTGACGTCCCGCTTATGTAATTAGCGGGGGCCGCGCCGGCCTCGCCATTGGAGCCCGCGGCCGCGGGGCCCCGCAGCGCCGCCCGCCCCCGCGCCGCGCCCCGGCCCCCGCCCGCCGCGGGCGCGCATCCTCCGCCGCCACCGCGCGCCGGGCGCAGACACGCGGCCCCGCGCCGCGACACGGCCACCCCGCGGAGGCGCAGCGCAGCGCGGCCGCACACAGAAGCCGCCGCCCGCGCACGGCGCTCAGCGCAGGCACACACTTGTCCGGGAAACACACAACTTTGCGCGCAGACCTACAGCTGGCACAGACACACGGCAGGGAGGTGCAGACACACACAGACTCACAGCGTAGACACAGACCCAGGACGACCCAAACGGGGTTCACGCAACATAAACACACGATACCCTGAACTTCAGCGCAGTAAGCACAGAGTCACACCACAAGCGTAATACTAAAACAGATACACAGCGCAGACACAAGTTCACAACACCACATACACCACAGGAACACACAGTGAAGAGACAGTTACAGAGCATAGACGTAGATAGACATGAGGAGAGACACAGTGTACACAGGGTAGGGCCACAACAGAACATAAACATAAGGTAGACAAACAACAGGCGTAGACCCATAATGCACTAGACACACAAGAGAAACAGTACATACACCAACAACAAATTGCACAGAAACACAATACAAAGATTGTGTACAGTACAACTGCAAATACCACATACACAAACACAGCATATAAATAAATGGCACACAGTGAGAGACAACATACAGAGGCATAGGAATAGCAGATTGAGGCAATGGTTATGGCTCTAGTCATATAGGGTCCTTGCCCTGGGGACCAAGGACAGACGTGTCCCCATCCAGACTCACTTTTTGCTGGGGTGGGGTGGAGAACACTTGCAAACAACCCCCCATCTTCTACTTCTCCCCCTATCCCTCGGCCCTTCTCTCACCTGCTCACCATCACACTCTGTAGACACCCTCAGGAGGCTGGGGAGTGTGTACATCATGGGTGTGGCCAGTGGACAGCACCCCCTCACCCCCAGCCTTCCCTGTTCGCTGTCAAGTTGCCCATCCTTGGCCCTCTGCCTCTGGGCCTTGGGGTGTGATCCCTCTAGCCCTCTGGGTCTGCCTTTTGGCTGCTTGAGGCTGAGATTATGGAAGGAAGCACTTATCTCTGGGTCTCAAAGGCTGGCTCCTCTGATTATTGGCCATGGGACCTTGAGTTATCACATCAGCTCTTAAGCCTGTTTCCTCATCTACACAGAGCTGTCGGGAAAGTTAAGAGTTAATGTATGCAAAGCCCCTGGCACCCAGTGGATGTGCGGTAAGTGATTATTGTATTTTGTCAAGAAATTATATATTCATTGACTGCTCCCCTGGGTGGCACTGGAACTGGGAGCTGTGGGGCCCACAGTCTCAAGGGGGAGTCAGGTCTTGGCACGAGCGCGACAGCACACGTATACGGATATGAGGGGCATAGTGCGGTGAACTGTATGGGGAGCTCCAGGAGTCCTGGCTTTGGGTCCAGCTCTGCCTCAGGGCCGGCATGGGCTCTTGGGTGACCTCATCCCTCTTTAGGCTATGTTTCCTCATCTGTTCAAAGTGGGTAATAATACTACCCCATCTCACAGGGCCGTGGCATAGATGCGGTTAAACTCAGATTATGAATGAGAGTTAAAATAGCATAATGAAGGAGCAGGTGCTTTTGTAAATGAAAAAGTCGTATGCAAAATGAGGAGCTGTTAAAACACTACAAAATGAGAAATTATAAATGCCACTAGAAAGGTTTAGTGTCACCAGTGATTGCTTAGAGGCCACTCTAACTTCGAATTGAGAAGAGAGGATAACTATCACGGAAAAGGTGGCATTTACATAGAATGTGGAAAAAGGGAGGTGAGCCTTCCTGGTGGAGGGGAGGGTATGTGCAGGAGGCCTGGGACCGAGCACCTTGTGTTTATCGGGCTGGAGTTCAGGTGTGTGGAAGAAGCAGTGGAAGGTAAGGCTGGAAGAGAAGGTGGAGCTGAGTGTAATGGGCTGAGCTTGATTGTCAGCCCACGGGCAAAGCAGGGCCATGAGCAAGGTTACAAGTTGTGCATGTGCTAGAGAGAGCCATGGGGAGTCTAGAGCAGAGAAGTGCCGTGATCTGAACTTGCTTCAGGATCTGGCAGTAGGTTGAAAGGGTGGACAAACAAGAGAAGGATAAACAACCCAATTTTTTACAAAATGGGTTAAGGACATCAACAGGCAATTCACAAAAGAGGAAAACTAAATAGCGCAAAATATGAAAAGAGGTTCAACCTCACTGGTCATGTGAGAGATGCAAATGGGAAGAGCAGTGGGACACCATTTCACAGCCACCAGACTGGCGAAGAGCATGAAGTCTGTCAATATGGGGGGGGGGGGTGAGGATGTGGGACCGTTGGAACCTCATACGCCATTGATAGAGACATAAATTGGTACAATACTTTGGAGAAGAGTTTGGCAACATCTAATAAAGTTGAAGATGCTCATATCTACGATTCCATGATTCCACTCTACTCACTCTGCACAGAATTGAGAAATTAGAAATTGATTAATTGTCCATCAACACAGTCCAGGTAGGTAAATTGTGATCTATTCATACACTTTAATAACATACTAGGAGTGAAAATAAACCAAGACTGTCAGCCCCGACATAGATAGAGTTGAGAGAAAACCCCACCAGGTTGTAGAACAGGTACAGTGTGATACAAAAAGGTTTTTTTTAAACACTCGAAACTATGCTACTGTATATTTTTAGGGATACAGTCAGATAGTGAAAGTGTTAAAACATGCATAGGAAATCAAACACACCAAATTTAGAATAATGGTTACCTCTGGCAAGGGAGGGACGGGAATGAGATCAGAAAGAGGGGCAGAGGGATTTAATTATATCTGTGATGTTTTATTTCTTAGAAAAAAATATCTGAAGCAAATAGGGCAAGGTGTCAAGATTTGACAAAGCTGGGTGGCTGGTCCCTGTCGTTCTCTCTGATCCTTGTCCTTCTCAAGTCTAAAACTTTTTCTCTATTTTCTGTATGTTTGAAATATTCGGTAATTTTAAAGAGGGAAGGGGCAGGGAGACTGATGAGACTGCAGCAGAGGAGGTGGGTCATAGCGTGTGCAGGGCCATCATCGCGCCCGGTGTCCTAACACGTCTGTGCGGGGACGTGCCACAGCTCGGTGAACCCGGCATGGCAAGCGTCAGGTCCGTTTACAGGGAGAGAACGAGGCCTGGAGAGCTGGGGTGATTGCCCCGAGGTCACACCCAGTGGGGAGTTAGGACGAGTCCCCAACCTCAGCTGTGTCAGAGCGCAAAGCCAAAGAACCCCGAGAAGGTCTCCCACCTTGTGGTAAGCCGTCCTCCGTCTGCGGCACCGTCCTCTTTTTTTCTTTCAGTTAAGGACAACTTGGAAAGTATAGAAAAGCACGAGGAAGAAAATAAAAATCACGTGATTTTCACTATTTTGTTTTTTATGTCAGCTTTATTGAGGTCTGTTTACAGATGGTCCACGACTTACAATATTTCAACAACGCTTTTTTGGCTTTATGATGATGAGAAAGCCATAGGCATTCTGTATAAACCGTATTTGGAATTTTGAATTATTGACCCTTTCCCGGGCTAGCGGTATGTGGTAGGATGCTCATGACGCTGGATAGCAGCCATGAGCCACAGCTCCCAGTCAGCCACACCATCCCGAGTCAACAAGCGATACACTTACAACCCTTCTTTCCCCATCCAGCCATTCTGTTTACACTTTCAGCACAGTATTCAATAAATCACATGACCTGTTCAACACTTTATTATAAAATAGGCTTTGTGTCAGATGATTTTGCCCAACTGTAGGCGACTGTAAATGTGCTGAGCACGTTTAAGGTGGGTTAGGCGAGGCTGTGAGTTTCGGTGGCTTAGGTGTATGAAATGCATTTCAACTTATGATATCTTCAAATTATGATGGGTGTATTGGGAGGCAACCCCATCGTAAGTCGAGGAAGACCTGTAATTCAAATGCAATAAATTCACCTATTTTAAGTGTACAGCACTAACTTGTTTTCAGAGAACATCATTTCATTTGGAAATATTTGTTCAAGTACTAAACACGTTCGCATGCCAGAAAGCGCTCTACAAAGAAGAAAATGCTTTTCACAAATATGAGTAATTGTTATTGTAATAAAAGTTTTGGAAATAGTTAAGATAAAGGTACTTTATCCTTGAAAGCAGGTGACCAGCTGGGTGGGCCTGTGTTTCATTGCCTGAATTTGGGGATCAGTTCATAATGGCTTCAGCGTGGAGGTGCGAGAGTTTTCAAATTATAGCAGAAAGCATGATCGTTTACACCATTAAAAAAACCCAACCCAAAACTAGTTGATAGGGTCAGACTGTGACCTATTAAAGTGCTTGTGGCCTTGGTTAGCTGCCAAGCCATAAACACCTTTACCTATGGCTTTTGTGGGGAAATGAGAGAAGTCAAGTGTCTGCCCTCTCTGTGAGCCCGCGAGAGCCTTCGAAATATGCTGCGGGAGGTCGTATTGGTCCTCCTTGATCCCCAAGCTTGCTGTGTATCCAGGGGTGGGTCCCCTCTCTTCTCTGAAATGGAGTCTCCTCATCTGTTAAAAATAAAGTGGCGCTTTATTCACACTTGCAACATTCAGCAGCCATTTAGGGAAATGTGCTGTGGGCAGGCTCTGTGCTAGGAATGGGGGTGGGGGCAGAACGAGATGTGCGGTGATGTCGAATAAGACACAGTCTCTGGCCTCAAGAAGCTCCCACTCCAGAGCTGGCAGGTGAGGTTGAGAGGACAGACCTATCCACAGGTAATTGTGACAGTGTGTCAAGAGCTG